ACCAGAGAAAGAAATTGCAGGCAACTATGGAGCAAGCAGGTGGTTTGATAGTGGATGAGATCTCGCAAGTGCAAGCAGCTCTGTTTCACGCAGTGTCACTCCGAATGACATATGCGCGGGCACTGCGATACAACCTCAATACCAGCGCGTATGCCACAGTTCGGGAAACCTTTGGAAAAACGGGCTTCGTCCTCCTTAGTGGAGATCATTTGCAACTTCCGCCTGTGCTACAACGAACATCCCTGCTCGCACCACTGGACTATGCAACTCCAGAGCACAAGACGGGAGCAGCAATCTTTTCAAACATGCCAACTGTCTTCGCAATGGAAACCGCCATGCGGTTTGACGATGAAACTCTTCGATCCATATTGGCAAAAATGCGAACGCCTGGCGGAGAAAAGTTGTCCGAAAATGAGTGGGCAGCATTGGAACCAACAAAGATTGAAAATCATTCTGCCAATCCAGCCTGGCTGCAAGACGCATGTGATTTTTACCACAGCTGTTACCTGTGGTCAATTGTCACCAAGATTGCATACTTGAAAGCACGTGAATCGGCAACGCGAGCAAATTGTCCACTGTTTCTGATCCAGGCGGTCGACAGACCAACCAAAACAGCACTGTTAGAGCAGTACGTTGCCATGCTTCGCATACCAAGTTTGAGCAACATTGGTATGCGCATCCGATTTACGACAGCTGTGCTTCCGCCGTGGGCCGTGCAAGACGCCACCGGAACTGTGATGGCTATTGACTTTGGAGATGGCCGCGCGCCTTTTGCCTATCATGGACTGTGTCCTGGGGAAATCTTGTTGCAAAAGCTTCCTTCTGCCATTTATGTGAAACTCGATGACTGTGGCCTCGAGTTCCTGCCTCCAACGGCCTGTGATGCACACCAACTTGCGGGTTATGATCCTGCTTGCGGTGATTGTAAGCGATGCCCGGGCCTCATCCAAGTAAAAGCTCAGACCTATCAATGGCATTTTCAAGACAAAGACTTTGGTACCACAGTGGAACGCACAACTTTTGACATAATGCCAGAAAAAGCATGTCCGCTGTACGGGCTGCAAGGCACGACAGCCAAACCCGGAATGATAGCGCATTTTAGCTTTCCATCCGGAGCCGCGTCGGACATAAAATTTTTGTTTGTTTACGTTCTTCTTTCCAGAGTCTGCAACTTAAAGTCTTTAATATCAATTGATCTGACGTCCAAAGTGCGGGAAGTCATAGAAGCTGGACCACCCGATGGCTTGGTTTGCACTTTTGATTCCCTCTTCTCTACCAAAATTGTCCAATCCAAAAAAGAAGCCTTTGATGCAAGGGTTGCTCTGGGATGGCCAGAAAATATTGCCACATCTCCTCCATAACCCACACAAACTTGAAACATGCGCATTGCCACCAATCATGCAGAGAAAAAATCGTTGTGCCTTGGGGAAGCGTGTTTCGCAAAAGTCGTTCGTGCCTTTAGCAAGAACGCATAGGAACTCTGGAGTTTGGATATGTAACCCGTCTTCTTATGAGATCACGTAGCCGATCACTATTAGCATGCAGAATTCCAGGTTGTGGGTATGTTGAATAGTTATAGGTAAGATGGCGTTGAGCTGGTGATTTGATGATTTTGGATGTTCATCCCAGATTATCCTGTTTTTCCCGAATGCGTAGCGAAGGGTTCCCGTTTATAGTCTTGGGGTCTGGGGGCTGGACCCTTGTTCGCCTCGAGTGGCTCGTCGCGTCGTCGTCGGGTCGGCATCGCGTTGTCGTCGGGTCGGCGTCGCGTCGTCGTCGCGTCGTTAATTCCGTGTCTATGGGGGAAGCTGCAAAACCTCTCCTTTTCGAACGTGTCCAAGCAGGTTGTCATGTCGTTTTGCAGGGCAGGCGTGGCACTTTGTCACATTCCCACCTGTTTGATAACGTGTCGAAAGTGTCAAAATTGGAGGAAGTCTCGCACGAAATGCTCGTTTTGCTGCGCCCACCTGTCTCGTCTCGAGTCTCTGGTTTTCCTGTGGAGTCGCTGTGTCTACAAAGAAAGCTGCAAAACCTCTCCTTTTCGAACGTTTCCAAGCAGGTTGTCATGTCAGTTTGTAGCACAAAGTAGTACTGGGAAGTGCTTTGTGCAAGCTGTGTAGTACAAAGTAGTGCTGGGAAGTAGTTTGTGCAAGCTTTGTAGTACAAAGTAATACTGGAACGTGCTTTGTGCAAGCTTTGTAGTACAAAGTAGTGCTGGGAAGTGCTTTGTGCAATTTTTGTAGTACAAAGTAGTGCTGGGAAGTAGTTTGTGCAAACTTTGTAGTACAAAGTAATACTGGAACGTGCTTTGTGCAAGCTTTGTAGTACAAAGTAGTGCTGGGAAGTGCTTTGTGCAATTTTTGTAGTACAAAGTAGTGCTGGGAAGTAGTTTGTGCAAACTTTGTAGTACAAAGTAGTGCTGGGAAGTGCTTTGTGCAATTTTTGTAGTACAAAGTAGTGCTGGGAAGTAGTTTGTGCAAACTTTGTAGTACAAAGTAGTACTGGGAAGTGCTTTGTGCAAGCTGTGTAGTACAAAGTAGTACTGGGAAGTGCTTTGTGCAAACTTTGTAGTCCAAAGTAGAACTGGGAAATGCTTTGTGCAAGCTTTGTAGTACAAAGTAGTGCTGGGAAGTAGTTTGTGCAAACTTTGTAGTACAAAGTAGTGCTGGGAAGTGGTTTGTGCAAACTTTGTAGTACTACTGGGAAGTGCTTTGTGCAAGCTGTGTAGTACAAAGTAGTACTGGGAAGTGCTTTGTGCAAACTTGGGAAATGCTTTGTGCAAGTTTTGTAGTACAAAGTAATACTGGGAAATCCTTTTTGCAAGCTTTGTAGTGCAAAGTAGTAGTGGGAAATGCTTTGTGCAAACTTTGTAGTACAAAGTAGTTCTGGGAAGTGCTTTGTGCAATTTTTGTAGTACAAAGTAGTGCTGGGAAGTAGTTTGTGCAAACTTTGTAGTCCAAAGTGGGACTGGGAAATGCTTTGTGCAAGCTTTGTAGTACGAAGTAATACTGGGAAATCCTTTTTGCAAGCTTTGTAGTGCAAAGTAGTACTGGGAAATGCTTTGTGCAAACTTTGTAGTACAAAGTAGTGCTGGGAAGTAGTTTGTGCAAACTTTGTAGTACAAAGTAGCACTTGGAAGTGCTTTGTGCAAGCTTTGTAGTACAAAGTAGTACTGGGAAGTGCTTTCTGCGAGCTTCGTAGTACAAAGTAGTACTGGGAACGACTTTGTGCAAGCTTTGTGGTACAAAGTAGTGCTGGGAAGTGGTTTGTGCAAACTTTGTAGTACAAAGTAGTACTGGGAAGTGCTTTGTGCAAGCTTTGTGGTACAAAGTAGTACAAGAACGTGAATACATTCGGGTTCGTGGCTTCCATCTTGTTGAATTTCAAGCTTCTATAAGTCGAAGTTGCCTGACAATTTGCCAAGGTGACCCACAGAATAGAAAAATAATGATGCAGAATCCCAGCGTTGACATGCAGGTTGCACACGAGAATGGCATTATAAGAAAGTAGAAAGTCAATATTTTCATCAATCGCGTTCCATTGTGTTTTATATGTTTTTAATGTCTAAAATGCATGGTTACACTTTTATTGAGGACAGCGCTCCATGCAGAAAAGTATTTTGGCATGACTTGGGCATGACTTCTTGGATGCAGCGTTTACAATGGTAAATGCCATTCAAAAACACGCTAGGCATGACTTAGGCGTGACATTGTCGCTTCCCTGAATCACATTGAACCGTAGTTCTGTTGTCTCTCGGCCTCACCCGCTGTATGCAGTTGTTTTCCATTTGTTCGCCTTTATATTGATACGTTTGCTTCGCAGACAGCACCTTGAATTGCACCTAACATGTCAAACTAGTCAAGCATCTGTTTGAATCTTGGCATTGCAGGCTGACGCAAGCATGGTCTCCTTCTGATGCCTAGCAACTTGGTGACTAGGTACAAAACGTCAACAGCGCAAGTGCGTGGATTTGGGTTTGATGCTAGACACGACCTTCCTTCCAAGCACCGAAATAACTGTTTGTTTCGTTTGTTGGCGCCTGTCTTTTTCAGAACATGGAATCTCTTTACTCTCGTGATGTTATGACCGGCAATGCAAATCCAGACTGTTCGAAACTAAATTTCGTTCTCCGTCATCCTATGAGAAATACGGTTTTGCCTGACCCAGCATCCAATAATGTGGGCTTTACGCTTCTACCTGCTAGTTTCACTGGCTGCAAGTTTCACTGCAAGTTTCACTGGCTGCAAGTTTCATGAGCTGCACGTTTCACGGTATAACAAATGCAAAACAACAAACACGATTATCACCCCTCATTCAACAAATGATATCTATTTCTTTGGTGGAAACCATTTTCTACCAAAATGTCTCATATTTTCTCATATTCATTGAAGGGGGGGGCAGGGGGGCAATAAATGCAGGGAAGGATGCCGAAATGATATCCATTGCCGCAAACTAAAATATAATTAAAATTTTCTATATCTGTTTGGGGTCAACGCTGGTATAATTTTTCAGGTTTCTAATTGAATATTAGGGGAAAGCTTCGAAATCAAATTTTGACAATTCTTGAATTAGATTATAAAAACGAATTTAATTGGTTTTGCAATAGAACATCTTAGTCTGTTATTGAAGTCTTTAATCTAATATGAGGGGGAAGCTTCGCAGCCTAATATTAAATACCCCCCTAATATTGAAAACTCCTGCAGGTGTTTATTGTTAGGCAGGGGGGCCGTTTAGTATTCGGGGGAGAGGACAAACTTGACATAGCTATTGAATCTATTGAACATTGCAACTTAATAGGATTTAATACGTAAATCATCGAAATAAAGCAAATAGCCATAGCAAACTGTTAATTACACTCAATTAATTACCAGAGGCTGTAGGATATTAATGGAAGTTAAAATGGTATATGAATTGGATTTACAATTCAATGGTATATAAAGCCAACAGTAACCACCAATATAAAATCATATGATCTATGGTTTACCGTTTCACCGAGCATCAGTTTGCTGACAGCCGGAAGGTCCTCCGGTTGCAAGATCTGCTGCTGATTCCTCTGACGTCCACCTCGTCCAGGCCCAAACAACGAGGCAAAGGTGGACGTCTCGTCCACAAAGACCGGCCGGAAGAGATCCACGGTCACGGCCATCTGTTGGATAGACAGCTGGTACTGCCAACTTAGGAAATGCCAACCTGGCCAGGGTGGATTCTGTTCCTGGATAGTCGACTTCGGGGATTTGGATGATCCTGGTTACAGTGGTGAAATATCAATGACATTCAATCAAATTCTTTACAGTTCTGTTCTTAGCCAATCCTCATTTTCAAGAAAAATCATGGAAACAATCTGTGAAAGCACCAGGAACCTTCAGACACCGAAGTACTCACTCGAGACCACACGGATGATGCTCTTGACTCCGCTTTCGCAGGTTTCCAACTCCACATGCGACGTGCGAAATTGCAGGCGCGGCCGGCAAAACGGAAGTACTCTACCGCATTGGCGGTGACAGCCTGAAGGCAATAGGCACTTGGTAGTTGATGTGTGGGAAGGGTTGATCTATGTTGATCTGGCTGGTGGTTTCAATCCCAAAATTAAATAGAGCTGACGCTTAAATAGTGTGACAACCAAAGTACTTTGTGTAGGATGGAACATAGCAAATTTTCAACACCAGTCAGTGGTGATCCCCGATTTCGGCCCAGCAGCGGAACTGTGAAAGAAAACCTGAAAGACTGTGAAGATAAATCCAGGAAAGCACTCCTCGAAGAAGTCTGTATTATCGTCAAAAATGGCGGCCAATGCAACATCGAAATATTCCTGCCGGTCTACGTCACCATCCTCACCTAAGAGCCAACATGGATTTTACACAGGTCTTCTCCAAAACGGGAATTTCAGAAATGTCCTACCCACCTTTAGTGGCCAACAAGTTGCCTGCAACATCCGCCGACACCTGCCAGATGTTCAAGAAGTATTCGTAGACGCTACCTGCGGGGCTTCAAGGCGTTCAAGGTCACATCCACTGGAAATGGGCCAAAGGCTGATCCGTTGGATCCATTCAAACACCACAAAACGGTAAAACATGGCTGACGAATGCTGACTATACTCGTTGGTGGTTGAGCCACCCCTCTGAAAAATATGAAAGTCAGTTGGGATGATGACATTCCCAATATATTGAAAAAAAAGAAATGTTCCAAACCACCAATCAGCTGACTATAGATCTATATTGATCTTGTGGAAATGGGACCCCATTTGAAGTTCCGTGCCTCCATGTCTGGTATGATGATCATGAACCAAACTCATCACATGTCCAAGATCGGTGAAATGATCCTGCTCGCATACCCCAGCAGACCGTCCGAAAAATCCCAGCAGAATCCATGGGAGGAACATCACCGCGATCGAGGGCCTTTGTGATACTGCTACACATGCTTGGATATGCTTGGGAGGTATCAAGGGGATTTCAAGGGGCTTGTCTGATCCTGATCCGCTCTGAAGAGCACATAAGGGCTGTTGTTACCAGCATGGAATTGCATGATCCTCATCCGACGACATGTATACTGTACGTTTTCATAACTGAGCGAGCCATCAGGCAGGACCAACCGCGGGAAAATTCAGCAGGAAACAAATCACTGAGCGGCAAAGCCTCTTGGCCCCAGAATTGAACACTTGAATCATCATACCCTGTCAAGAACTTATCACTCCGCCCAGGGGACCCCTTTTGTTGAACAGATTCGATAGTGACGGGCCTTGATGGGCGGTGTTTATTGTTGGGTGGACGGGCATATGTACTATAAACATCTATAAAAATCTATAAACATCTATCAACCATTCGGATCAATAACTGTCATCTTCGTCTGCATCCTTCTGACGCCAAAAAAATCACGAGACTTGGTTTGATTCCCACCGTGTGAGGGGCCCAACATCCCCCCATGAGATCTGATGAGGCTGAAGCGGTCAGGCAAGCCGCAAGTTCATAGCCAACAACTTGCTCTGGGATGGGCTACCCCAAATTTGATGCTTGATCATTTGATCGTGATCTTCACATATTTTCCTCATTAACATGTCACTAAATTGAGGCGAGCCGCCACCTCTATGGCTCTATGCTCCCCAAAAAACACATTAACAACCATCAAGGTGACACATGATGAAACATGTGCCAACAAACAACCATGATTTCAAGAACACATTGTAAATGATAGCCATCGAATAATGGCATAGTTGACACAACCATCAGAATTCAAGAAACGCATCGAGGACCACAGAGGTTGGTCCTTCTTTGTACTACCATCCCCTTGGGGGTAGGCTGACTGAATCCTCCATAACCCAAAATGCTCGCACCTGGCGTCAGATTCATGCCATGTTTCCTTTATGCTCCGGAGCTACAATAATTTCACCATGTCATGGTCCCATTCTAGTCATCTTTTTGCAATGACATTTGTTTCCTCTATGATTCTCTATGTATCGATCACTCCTATTACAATCCAATCATTCTCCAATCATAATTCATAATTTCCAAGGTATCTCTCTATTGGATTCGAGAAGAGTCTTCAGAAGTTTTTTTACCCGAATTTGGGTGTCCTATGCCTGGTTGAGCCGTACAAGTCTACACGGGTAAGACCTCCAAGAACCCCAAATGGATCACCCGATTGCTCATTGCTGGCCACTGAGAATGCCAATGGCCATCCCACAGAAAGCGTCTTTTGGGACCCAGTTCCATCCCGATTTTCTTCGAAACATCATTGCAATCTACAGAGAATCCCAAGCACTGAGATTTTAGCTACAAAAATTCTGGTGTAATGGGATTTAATGGGGTTTAGTGGGATTTAATGGGATTTAATCAACATCAATGCCAAGGGAACACGATTCATGTCCAAGCACCGCAGCTCACTGTTTTCTCTGAGAAGATTGCAGGTTGGCCGCTGGGAAACTCGCAAGGGCGGATATGGCGGATCGTTTTGCAGGCTTACCCCATGTTACTTCCCAAGCAATGACAAACATGTGACACCCATGCTCAATCCGCAACACTTGCAGTAAATAAAGTGGATGATGGACGTGTTGAACATTGGCTTGTCATGCTTGTCCCATGGCAAGGTCAGCCAACTAGGACTATGGTTTGGTTTCTAGGTTTCTAGCTTTTGAAGGAAACTTAAGAGACTAGTCGAATACTTTGGATGGCCAAAACACGCCATTTTTCCATCCAATGTCCTGCAAACATTCACTTTGATGACATGAACATCCTGATATAAACTGAATCTGGTTGGTGGTTTCAACTCCTCTGAAAAATATTAGTCACATGGGATTATAATTCCCAATATATGGAAAAATAAAAAATGTTCCAAACCACGAACCATAACTGGATTTGTGATGATTCATGTGCTTCATGGTCTGCCCTATAGGTCTCCGTCCAAGCCCGCTCCTTCGAAGCGCTGAAGAAGCGCTGTGCGAAAGCGCGCGGGGAACAGCTTGGGCTGTTGTCCACTTGACATTTTGGTGCCAAAACCTGGAAGAAACGTGGGGTTTGCCCTCAGATTAGATATATATATATATATAAAATTAGGTACGAAAGAAGTGGACTTCCTAACTTTGAATGGGTTACACGGTTACACTTTGGGCGGGTTTACAGCTAACGCCTCGTTGTTGATTAGTCATGCACATCCAATTTGCTATCCACCCTGCATCCAAATGCCAGAATAATCAGTATATATACTGCGTATAGTAATACCCCAAAACAAAGGCAACACAATTTACAGTAAATACCGTGCAAAAAGTGCCAAGTTCCATGTTAATCTCTGAAATTGCTAAAATCGTGATTTTTGAGGTTAACCTGGACCATCCCGCACCGGAAACACCCCCCAATTAACCTGAACCAAAAATAATTTTATTTTATTTTTTTAAATGTTATTTTGCCAGGGGGTACCACTATTAGTAGGAATGCAATGAATATACTATGCGTCGATTTTCTTGTGGAAGTTACTAGACATACTATCTGGCCAATGATTCCTCGGATATTGGGCGCAGTGCCTTCCAATTCAGTTGGGTTTCTCCTCCCCAAAATCGCAACGCAGAACATGATACTCCAAACCATGAGATTGGGGATAAGACACACATATACACATACGCCGAAGAGTACCAAACTATCTATATACTACATGCATATATATATATATCAACTGGCCAAATCATAATTCGCGGTTGTTATTTCAAAACGGAAACACACTGACATCGAAGTTGCCTCGGTGGCAACTCTTCAAATTTTCTTGCGCGAGAACTAAGCCTCAAATCTCCTTGGATTTCTAAGTGCAAATGTTTTTGGCCATGTTGGCCTTTGAAGCACTAAAAACATCTGCAGTTTGAAAACGAACCAAAAAGGTAGCCATTATCATGCTACTGCAGTTGTCATCCGATAAATTCCGATAATAATTGTCAATACGTTTTGAAATCTTTGGCTCAAAGAAGTGTTCTTTTCTTTTATTTGCTGAAGTTTAACCTAGAATTCGATTGTTGACAGCTCACTGTCTTGTTAACTGTTTGCGGACCGGGACTATGGAGAAATTGATCCGTCACAAAAATCGGATCCGATTTTCAAACGGAGCGGGACGGGCAATCCCGGGCCGTTGTCTTCATCCTTAATAGGTCTGACTTCGGAGGTAACCAGGGTACCTGCCATTGGGGTATTCAGTGGTTGTCTCATGTAATGGTATCAGACCCACGACATGAGAGGCCCTGAGTTGAATCTTAACTCTGTTTCCTCTATTAAGGAACATGAAATTTGGATTACTGCAGGACTTGAGAGCACCGATTTTGAAACTCCCAACTGGGGAAAAGAGCGCCTTATGATGCCAGCTGGGAAATGCGACCAGTAATCAGTTGTCCGATACGTAATCATGATCCATAAGCATGCGAAGCGTAATCACATGGAACATCATATGAACATCACACATGACAATTTTTTGCAGCAGCTTACATCAAGGATTTTCCGTCGGTGAAGGTTGAAGGATTTCCCACCCGGCATCTCGGGCTTCGGGCTAGGCGAAATATCCATAGCCCAGTGAGAGCGAGCCCGCATCCACTGGGAGACGAATTCCGGTGAAAAACCGCGAGACCACACTGGATATGGGTTGGCAGCAAGAGGCGCCCGGCCAAGCAATCCACAGACATTTTTTTAAAATCCAACCCACATCTGTGACTATGCATGGTGTATCTATCCGTGGACATTTCTATGAACATAGACATCCATCATCTTCGATCCAGTGTAGCTATCCATCCATTCTCCATCTCAAGTGATCTAACCTCATGGTTGAACAAATGAGCAAATCGAGATCACCTACAGGTCTTGAACCTACATGTCATCATATATCATCAAACATCATCAAAAACATTCAAAAACCATCATAAATCATCATCATCATCATCGTCATCATGATGATCATCATCATCATCATCACCATCATTATCATCATCATCATCATCATCACCAACATGGTCATCATCATCATCATCACCATCATAATAATAATAATAATCATCATCATCATCAAAATCATCATCACCATCATAATAATAATAATAATCATCATCATCATCGTCATCCTCATCATCATCATCATCGTCATCATCATCATCATCGTCATCAACATCGTCATCATCATCATCATCACCATCACCATCATCATCATCATCATCATCCTCATCATCATCATCGTCATCATCATCATCATCGCCATCGCCGTCACCATCATCATCATCAGCATCATCATCATCGTCATCGTCATTATCTTCATCGTCATCCTCATCGTCATCATCGTCATCCTCCTCCTCCTCCTCATCATCATCATCGTCATCATCATCGTCATCATCGTCATCCTCATCATCATCGTCGTCATCATCGTCGTCATCATCATCATCATCGTCATCATCATCATCACCATCATTATCATCATCATCATCACCAACATGGTCATCATCATCATCACCATCATAATAATAATAATCATCATCATCAGCATTACACGCGCACACACACAGACACACACACACACATATATATATATATCAAATAGATAGAATCTAACAGGTCTACATGTAATTACATATATGTTACATGTATCTATAGATACCATAGATATTTCCATGGGCGAAACTCCGCCTGGTGATCGCCCAGCCGGGTCACATGGACCACCTCGCTGCGCCAACTCGTCCAACTCGTCTGCCTCAGGCGTCAGCTTTTCCGAGCTCGTTGTCATCACCTAGCCGCAAAAACACGTGGAAGAAACAACATGTTAAAAAAAATGAGAAAAAACGATGGCCGGTAAACACTCTGTCGATGGGTCATAGGGGGTCATCCATCATTTATCCATATGTGGTAGCTGGGTTTTGGTAGCATAAAATGCAATTTTCAGGTAAAGATATCAACCAATCTGAAGTATGCTGCGACACATGGACAACAAATGCCAACACAGCCAGTGTCCAAGTTACAGTCCTTGTGTATCCGTTGCCTGGTTATATCCGTGTCACCGAACCCAAACTATCATTGGTGTTTTTCAAATGGTCATTTTTATGTCGTGATCTTTGGAATCTTTGGTCACATCCCCCAATCTCTTAGCTTATCTTAGCTTGCATATCTATCACAGGCCACACGACTCGGGCGGCTACAGGGCCACATGGGTGAAATCCATGGGCTTGTCGAATAGAACATTTGTCGCATCTGCTGGGGATGAAGCTGCTTGATGTATATACCATCTGGTTATGACTAACAGTTCGCCATGGTGATGGCCCATAGAAATAGATGGTTTACCGAACTAAAAAATGGTGATTTTCCATGGCGAACTGTTAGTCGTAACCAGATGGTATATAGATATAATATATATAATATATATATATATTAATTACATGTATATCAAATCAAGCCATGGATATACACCGGGGTAAACTGATAGTTCGATGTGGAAAATCCACCAGTAGATTAGTAGATCATGTTCTTCATAAAACATAGGTTTTCATGGTTTTTCCATGGTTTTTCCATGGTTTTTCCACATCTTTTGATGTCTAGGGATCTGCAGGGTCAGTTTTGCAGCTAGGTTCCCTGCTGAGTGAAATCTCCAACTCATCGGGGTCGCAGTAGGTCTCGCCCTGTCAAAGTTTTGCCATCAACATCCACCCGTTTTTCATCAACCTTACCCTCTGGTAAACTAACATAGCTATGGAAAATCACAATTTTTAATGGGAAAATCCACTATAAATGGCCATTTTCAATAGCTATGTTAGTTTACCAGAGGGTAAACAGAAAACAACATCAAACAACATCAAACAACATCTAAAAAACACATAAAAAACATCTAAAGCAGTCTCTCTCTCTCTCTCTCCCTATATGTTCGATGTTTGTTGATCTTTTTTGGGGACTTTTCAAAGCACTGCGATGGTGATTTTACGCCATCATCCCACCTTAGGTACCCATGGGGGGGAGAGCTCGCGACCCAACAACCTCAGGACATCGAAGAAGGACTGGACGTTGGGATGGCTTTGCTATTGGAAACCATGGGGAAACCATGGGGAAACCGATTGGTTTTTCTCGATTCTTTCCTGCACATGTTTCCTGAACAACATCCACAAAAACCAATCCAATGATTCAATTCCATGGAAACAACACTGAAAAGATCATGGCTTGATTCAGGCAAATATAACAAATAGATGAAGACTGGGATGAGAGCTTTGCTCATCAAAGACCTCTATGATTTTGTTGATCCAGTTTCTGGCAAAGTGGAAGAAAAAGAGGCGTCAACCTGGCACTGGAACACTTCCCTCGGGTAATCAAACATGATAAACATGGGACATCCCCTCTATATGTGCATTTGAACCGGAAAATCCTGAAACAAAATGGTTTATTTTCCAGCAAAACTTCAAAACCATGTTTGATTACCAGAGGGTGACCACGGTTTCCAAAAAATTGGAAGCTTTGAGCCAAGGAGCTTGTCAAACAAGGAGCCGCCTGCATGACCTTGTAGGAAATACTCCGCTCCGCGCACGTCCTTGGTTTGAACAAATCCGTGGCCACCCTTTTTCAGCCTTCACTCAAAAACCAAACTTACTTAAACAGAAAGGGCGCAGTTGGATGATTCTTCCAATTTGTTTATCAGGTTTTACTAATTCCTGGCACATTTTGCGGTTCCAGCCTGTTCAACGCTCCATGAATATTCACGGCATTTGCTGCCGAAACGCCGGCATACCTGGCCCCTGCCTGCTCATACCTGGCAACCAAGGTGCTTCCCATCCTCCCAAACCAGAGCCCAAGCGTTTTCGAGGCTGTCTGGTCATCAAGCCTTTCATCAAGGTCTTCCCATTGACCTAGAGAAGGTTGAAAGCAGCTGCGCAACCGGTGAGTTTTGCTGAAATGTTCAAAGAGATCCTGGGTGATATGGATTCAACATTAATGGGATCACTTTGTGAGAAATTTATCAGGAATGACTCAAATGAAACTTCTGCGACCATAAGGGTCACTCTGTGGGATCCCAAAGTGTCGTGTTATGTCGTGTTCATATATTCAATGACCCTCCATGACCCTCAGCCCCACCAGAACAAAAACATCCGATGCAAAACTCTGTCAACTGCAGTGTCATGGTGAAATTGGTGAAATCCTGAACCATGAGGGCAAACAGGGGTGTATCGCAAACAGGGGAATATCAGAATTCCCTGAAGGCAGTGTCAGTACGAGTTGGAAGAAGTCACATCAACCCCATGTAACAGCGAGTTGGAAGAAAGTCACATCAACTGGGCAAAAGTCACATCAAAATATCAAAATCCCAATGGCACACCGGCTTTCAAGGAATGTGGTTATATCTCCAAAAATGAAGAAAACATTGCGCACACTGAGGTATTCACATATGTTTAAACTATGTTTTCAAAGGATATATTTAGGAATCACCATGGCACACGGCCTCCCAGATCTTTAACTTTGTTTCCTAACAAACATAGATTTCCATGTAATAGCTATGGGCAACATCATCATATCAACAACGTTAAAATCTGAAAACCCAGTGGCACACCGCTGTCAACATCCGCTTCCGCTTGAATGTTTCATAAGTTCTGCCTTCTGTAAACATTCCCTCTCTCTGCTGGCGTCTCCCGCCCGTATCTCCCGCCAGCGCCAAACAAGGCGACCGAGACTGTAATTTTCTTTTTCGGCGAAATGTTTGCACCAGCGGCAGCAGCAGCAGGAGGAAGCAGCAACAGCAGCAGGAGGAGGGAGGAGGAAGCAGCAGCAGGAGGAGGAAGCAGCAGCAGCAGCAGCAGCAGGAGGCAGCAGCAGCAGCAGCAGGAGGCAGCAGCAGCAGCAGGAGGAAGCAGCAGCAGCAGCAGGCGGAAGCAGCAGCAGCAGCAGGAGGAGGCAGCAGCAGCAGCAGGAGGAGGCAGCAGCAGGAGGCAGCAGCAGGAGGCAGCAGCAGGAGGCAGCAGCAGCAGCAGAAGGAAGCCGCAGCCGCAGCAGCAGCTGATACGACTTAACGCTAGGGCTAGTAGGGTCAAATAGAATCATGTCAACAAAACATTGCGCACAGCGATGAAAAAGTGTTCGAATCAATAACCCATCAAAGAAAGAACTATCAAAATCTATACGAAACACTGCGCGCACGCAGGTGTGATACGACTTCAGGTCGATTGATACGACTTAAGCCTAGTGGTAGTAGGGCCAACTATGATCAACCGTTAAACGGTGACCATCAGGGCAGATCTCAAATTGACTAGGGAAAATGATGATCAACGATGATGATAAGCCATTGGTGGGTACCACATTTCAGACTAACCCCTGCAATAAAATCAATAAAAGTAGGACCACCCATGAACCTTTGGTACCCTCTGGTAATTTAACATAGCTATAGAAAATCACCATTTTCAATGGGAAAATCCACTATAAATGGTCATTTTCAATAGCTATTTTGACATAACCAGAGGGTAACTTTGGTAACTTTGGTGATTCCCGGAATTGGCCGAGTGACATCCTTGAAACTCGATGGGAACTGCAGTGGATCCTGCGGACTTGCTGACCCATACAGTTCCCACTGGCGCCCAAAAAATCCCCACTGCGTCCTTTAGCACCGCAGTGCACACCTCTGTGGGGTCATCCAAATCATCTGCGAAAGGTAGGTAACCTGAGGTGGTCGATGATGTTTTCCACATATCCAGGCTTGGAAAAAACTTTCCTATCTCTTTGGGTGCTATACTTGGAATCATAGATGTCCTTTTCCCAGATCAATAGCGCATTCCCCCATTCAAGAACCAATAGGTAGATGATAATGAATGGTGTGCCAGACCGACCTCCCTATTTTTCCTGAAAAGACACTATTGCTTGGAATATTGGGCAACCTCCAGTAAACCTGCAAAAAGCTATGGAATTCCTGTTTCCCTTGGACATGCTCTACTTTCATGGTGGATTTTCCATTAGATTGCTCGAAGGTAGCACTTGACCCATAGTACTGTCACAGGTGTACACGCTTGATGCACTTGATCCCTTGAACAGCCGTGCCAAGTCTGACCCCAGGAACGCGCATCGAACCTTTACTTCCAACGTTGTCCTGGGGACCAAGAAGAACATCCAGAACCTATCACTAGAACTCCGGCAATTCAACACAGCCATGAATTGCATAGCCCATTTACTTCGATGATTTGCCTGGCCTAAAAAAAAATGGTGATTTCTATATTTCCCATCGCCATGTGACAGAAAACAGTACCGGGTACATCTCCTGAATATCCCAATGGCTTCACTTTGGTCCAAACATATCCCAACATCTTTAATCAGCACATCCCTGGCCCGCCCTGCTGGGTGCTCCAACCGCAAACAAATTCAAAGAGCATCACTCCCATGGACCACAGGTCCACCTACAGCTGGAGTCCATCCGCATCCCGGTGCCCCCTTTGTGAGGTCCCTGACTTTAGCTGCTACGAACATTAATGTCCGGTGTCGCATGATGTCCCTACTTTAAGTTGGTTAAAGATCTTCAGCTTTGGGATCACTACTCCATTCAGCTGTGTCATACACTCGTGGGAAAAACGCTGCAATCCATTGGGTTAGTCATCATTATATCTCATCAAGCATGGCCATTGATTGGGTGATAAAAATTAAATCACCTCGTTCTTAGACAGACACTCTCACATATCATAGTGTTGGTCACAAATCTGAGAAAAAACACATCATGAAATATCCTCTTCAATTGGCTACTTCATGCCCCAGGTGAAGTTACTACCCAAACATCGTTTCTTCATCAAGTTGCTAATGACAAATCCAGTGATTTAACCATATTTAACATCATTTAACCCATAGAAAACCATATATATTTCAGTTTGTTCAACTTATACCCTCTGGTTATTTAACATAGCCATGGAAAATGGCCCATTTATAGATGGTTTACCTGGGTTTACCTATTAAAAATGGTGATTTTCCATGGCTATGTTAAATAACCAGAGGGTATATTTTCAGGCTGAAGCCCCAAACTGAGTTGAAGTTCTTCACCTTCCAACACCCAAACATGGCGCCTCGGTGCCATAGCCATGTCCTCGCATGACTTCCGGCGCCATGTAATGTGGAGTGCCAATCCTCAGAGACGACTGGGAACTCCCAGTCCGAAAGGAACGTTGGATGCATAGCGCATGGCACACCTCAAAATCCATAAAAATCCATAAAAATCCATAAAAATCCGCAAAAAAATCCATCAAGGGGTTGATATTTGATGATGTTCTCATGATCATGTTCCGAGATGGTCACATCTTGATCACTATGTAACTATATATGTAAGCCATTTCTTGATATTTCTTTATCATGTTGTGTTTATCCAGTATTCTCATTGGAACATTGGCATCAGGCACACCATTTTCAAATCCTCAGTTTCACATTGGCTTTGAACTCTGGAGGTGGCTATGGAAGAAACTTCCCACTATTCGCAGCTGGCCAGCCTAGGGGGACCGGCCTCTCAGCCAAGATACATGGTGAAAGTTTTGCTTTCACCATCAGGCAATTTTTTCGCAATGCCAAAATCAATCAACTTCAGGTAGCCCTGCGCATCCAACATCACCTTGGTGCTAAGAAAGATAAGACAGCCCTGCAGTAGCTCAAAACCCCAAGCTCAAACCCTGGAAGTTTGGAGCATCAAATGCGTTGAAGTCGGCGCAGTTGCAGCCGAGGCACGTTTTCAGGCTTTAAATCTCTGTACCTGGGTTTTTTCTGCTACATCAGCTGTTGTTGGTGATAGAATGCGCTGATTTTGGTGCTTAATTGAATCAAATCAACTAATAAGTAAAACGGCGTGCCTAAAAGTAGCATGTCGCACGATTTTTCTTTTGAATTCATTGGTCCATCATCATTTTCCCCATTGCAACATGTATGTTGGTGGTATTTACCATGATCTCTATTGTTTTTCGCCATGAAAATCACCATGTTCTCTATTGCAAATGACATTCTCTTACGGGTTGCCCGAGGGCAAACCAATATATAGATTTGGAAAATCAAGCATCTGCAGACTATCCTGGGGAAACCATGGGTTTTCATGGTTTTTCCACATTTATCTTAGTTTACCCTAGGTTAAAAATCCACATTTATGTCAGACAAAAACAACCGTCGGTTTTTTGCATCAAAAACTGAGCTCACGGACACAAGATTCCTCTCAGAGAGCTCCTGCCAGGAATCGGTACGGCAGGTTCACTGGGATTCCCCATGGACGACAATCCCAGGACTACCCTCTGGTAATCTAACAGTCCGCGATCTGGCATATCACCATCTTAGAAAATAGGTAAATCATGGTAAATCAATAATGAACCATGTTCCAGTTCGCAAACTGTTGCTTTACCAGAGGGTAAGTATAATACTGCACAATGATCAACTAACATGATTTTTGAACATGAGCATTTTCTTTCAACAGGTTTACTCGGAAAAAAAACACTGTGTTTGTTGGATTTGCCAACACTTGCCAGCTGGCCCACGGTCAGCCATGCTACAGCCTTGTGGTGCCACAATTCCAAAAGAATTCATGGGGAGAATACTGGATTTGTCTGAACAAATGTTGGAAAAAACTTAAAAACAACCCAAATCCACTGGTTAATCATCCCATATTTATGTCAATTTATGATCAAGCTTCACATTGCCATTCGGGGTGCATCCCAAGGCGCCCATCCTCGAGGACAATCACCAAGGAGCCTGTGTAGAACTGTGCCTGGCGCGGCTATCCCCATAACATACGCACGAAACAATCATCCATCAGTCATTAGAGAAAAGAAACCAGGTGTGTACACATTCTGATGCTACAGCAACCTCCAAAAAGATAGAAACGCATTTTATCACCCTCTCTCTCTCTCTCTATTTTCAAACTATCCCTCTCTCTCTCTCTTTCTCTCTCCCTCTCTCTCTCTCTCTTTCTATGCGTGTATATATATATATATCACTATATATCACTTTATATCACTATTTCACTATGTTATACTGTTTTAGTGGGTTTTTACTGTTCTAGGATTTTGATTCTTTCTCGGGGTTGCGCACATTGCACATCATTGCGCTACAAAAACCACAGCCGCCTGCGCTCGTGAAAGCACCGTCGGGATTTCGCGGATGGCACCTGGATTATGGCTAAGTGGCTCCGAGATATCCAGTGGGAAAGCTGCAGAAACCCGGGCTCCTTTGGATAAAGAAGTTAGCGTTTTTGGTATGCTTAGATCAAATTTGGATAAATATGGCAGTTTACATACATGGATATCATCAGTTTGATGCTTCAAATCATCTTACATTGCCTTGACACACCGGGGAGCTTCATGGCTTTTCGCAGTGCCAAGGTACCATGCAACTCACCTCCTGTGATGAGCTCTGTGAGGATGTAGACCTGGGAGATAGCCATGGTTGGAACCAAATTGCTCGTCCCAGCTAGCTTCCTGTTGACTTATTGATAGCTTAGTTACGCACAGTTTATGCTAAAAGGAATGTTGAAAGGGAAGCCATGTAGATAGTTTGAGGGTATGATAGTATGATATGGTAGGGTTATTGAGTACTCAATTTACTCATTTATGTATAACATAATTAGTTGAGTTGTTGAAAGGCATTTTTTTCTAACTCCAAGATGACATATTATTGAATACGTTGAACGGTTTGTCATCCACTTATCCATTTATGTTAGCAAGAAGTCACCGAATTATGATCCAAACAACCGTTGTTTCTGCCAAATAGATGTCCTTTAAGGGACACATTGTGATCTTCCAGTTACACGTCTTCCACAGTTTCTCCAGCTCTTTCTTGGTGGTTTCAACCGTGTTTTTCAGGTGTGCCATTCGTGTGCCAAGGGACACTTTTCTTAGTTTCGAAGGTGTTCACTTGCGTCATGATGAAAGGGTGATCGATGTCTTTCCTGAGCCGCAGATGGCTCTTGCCAGTTCGGAGATACACAGCCTGTGACAATATGGGTGAAACATGTGTTTTTGTTGATCTGCTACATACAAGCCATTAAAGGCTAACACATATGTAGAACACTCCAACATACTCCAAAAATCTCCCAACGATTGTGGAAATCTCTTGCCATACAAATCCTATCAACAAAAAACACCTCATCTCACCATGTCCCAGGCTTCCCTGGAGTGTCGAAAGAGCCCAGCGTCAGCAACGAACATTCTCGTTGAACTTCCTCAGGGACCTCGCCATCCTCCCCTTTCTTGACCTTCTTCAACCTGGACATATTTCTTTCGGCATCACAGCTGGGACCCATACTATCCAAAAAAACGGTTGGTTGGTTGGTTTAAGCATGGTTTAGAGAAAACACACTGATTAAACATGGTAACATGGTTAAACTAAATCATCAAACATCATCAAACATCATCAACTGATTGATAACATCATCAAACATCATAAAAAACCGATTGTTCAGGGAGTGGTCCAGTGGTCCAATGGGCTCCAATGGGCTCCAATCTGATCCAACATACTGATCCAACCATCTCTGGGACGCGCCACATGACTTGGTATCCTTCAGGGATCAAGGGGATCAAGTGAATGAAATGCCAAATATTATTAAATATCTATCTCAGGCCAACTAGCAAACCCTCAGTTTTGCCAAAAGTGACAGCCATCTGGAGTAGGATGCCAAACATGTAGCTGGGTCAAAGTGGCCCTGTGATTTAACATGATTTAGCATGATTTAGCCATGTTTATCCAATCTCCCTACCTGGCCGAGACCCGCCCCAGCGAACCCTATCCAACCCTCTAAACATTTTTGAACTCTGGGGATTATCGCACTGAATAATTGGTTTCCAAGCCATAGATAACCCCACTTTTCACTGAGTTTATAAGGCCATGGATAAGCCATAGATAACGCCATTTTGTACTTAGGGGACTTACCAAGCCGTCCATGTTCAAAGCATTTTTTCATAGGATTGAAATCTCTGGGTTTCCCACAACCCTTTGGTACTTTGTTACACAGCGACATAGAAAATAGCCCAATTTGTACATCCAGTTCTTCAAACAGGTAAACAAAACATGTTCGCAAACTGCAAACCATATTACCAGAGGGTAAATCCCAAGTGTATCTAGTTATATCCCAAGTAAATCTTAAGAATAATAGTCCATTATGCCTCTAAATAAATCCCAAATATATCCCAAGTATCCCAGTTAAATCATATACCTACTTATACCCCCATGAAAATAATAAGTAACCATAACAACAGCATCAACAACAATAATCATACTAACACACACACATATATATATGTATACATACGAGTATTGTATTAATCATATTATATATTATATTATATTATATATTATATTATATTATATTAGATATATCCGAAGTGAAATGACATATCTCATTTGCATCCTGCCGGTGCCAGGTCACGCATAGCGGGTTCGTGTGGACTTGTGCTCCACCAAGCGTACCACACCGGCTGCACCTGGACGAGATCTACGTGCCTTGGGGTCCCAAAGATAGCTAAGGTGAGATATGAGTGGCTTAACTATGGTTTATGGTATATATATATGTATATACGTATATAGTGTAACTATATATCCTTTTTGGAAGGAACTTGTGAATAACTTTCACTATTTTAGTCAAATCCGATTTTACCTGTTTATTTTGTTGGGGATGATATGTATAAATCAAGAACGTACTAAATATTTCGATCACAAGTACACTAATAAGTATATCAACATCATACAAATGTATACACAATTAATCAATTATGTATGATACGCTATGATTGCATATAATTGCTATATCAGCAGAGTTTCTAGCATACTCCTAATGGAAACATCACCTCTTCTATGGCTAAATCACCATTGAGGCACAATTTCAATTTGAACGTCACGCATCTGAAAGTAGCTTTAAAATCCTAGCGTAAAATCCTAGCATCATCTCCTTTTGAAACAAAAATACATCCAGGGACCGTTTGTTTATCTCCCTCCAGTCTCCATATCTCGATCAACCCAGCCAGCCCACCACTTCGATCAAGGATGCCATCATGGCCTACACATTACGGTCGATCCCTAGCCCGCCTGCACCAATGACCTTCACTTCGATCAAGTCTTTGAGTCCAAAGTTCGTGTCTTGCAACCTGGAGATCTTTTTTGAGACGGTGACTGCCATTTTGGTGCCATAAAAACTCCATGATTTTATGGATCAAACAGCTGTAAACAGCGGTTTAAGGCGTTAAGCATTTTTCAAAAAACCAGATATGTTGGTGTCGAAATTACATGAAACTCATCAGTTTTTGTTTTAGGTATGTTGGCTTCAGTTGACCCGGTATACTACTGCCAGTATACCAGAAACAAATCGAGATGGAACTATCCAAAACAGACAGAAACTCAATAGAAGCACACCAAGTCATCCTCGAAGAAGTTAGGCAAGAAACTGAACTTAATCCTAGCATAAAATAGGCAAAAAGCCAGGATGGAGCGCAACAACCCACAGAATCACAGAACAATTTCGATCCAAACATCAGCACTGCGCCTGATGCGATTCATCAGCTGCTGCTGCCTCGCATCAACTTTCAACCATCGACAAATGGGTTGGCACAGGCGGATGAACCTCCAACTTTGAGGATATCAAGCCTCATGTCTGAATGATTTTATATGGCAGGTTTAACAGTTTGCCATGGACAATCTTTATTTTCAATGTATAAATCATCAAGCTTAATAAACCATCTATACCATAGCAAACTCTTAACTTACCAAATGGTAGAGGAATGCGAGTTTAGGGGCTGCCGGTGGGCGTTTGATAGTCTGGGAAGATCAGCTTTCAATACTGAAAGGAGAAATGGGATGATTCTACGTTTTTAATCATATTTGATCTTTGATCATTAGTTGATCATCCACACATGTTGCAACCAAATCAGTCAAAAGAGGTATGCTCCGCGAAAAGAGGTCCGCGACATTCGATGGACAAAGAAAGCAGCATCAAAATACGAATGGGTTATCGAATGGGATTCACGAATTTCTTATTGGGGATCCCTCCAACATACTGACTCTCGGTATCAAATACTGCAAATACTGCGACACCGTTGCCGCAATCCACACAACGGAACAGGAACAAATCAGTCAAGGCGCATATTTCCAGCGATGATCTTTTCGAAAGTTGTCTGAAAGGGTGTGAAGGTGGCAGGGGAACTGACCAGAATGGGAATGGGCATCAATCAACAAAGCTGGATAAAAACCGTTAAACACACATATACATATACACAGATATACTAATTAAATATATATATATACATATCTTTATGAAGGAAGCCAACAAAGTAGACTTCAATGGTGGTCTTGTGGTGTTGACTGGCTTTATCCCGTCCACACCACAAGATTTGAAGATTATCAGCCAAAGTGGAGTGACCAATGGGTACCCTTGATTGTCAACATGAACAAAGCTTCTCAAAAAATTGGATGCCCCAAAAGCCAATGGTTTATCTTTTTTCCGACTGAAAAGGGTATCCCTCATTTTTGTGGACGATTTTAGTTGGCGAGGTCTGCGCCAAAATTGATGATGTTAACTGTTTACATCAAAGTTTTTGATGCTGAAACACTCCATTTTCCCCACAATTGGTGGTTAATTAATGTTAATTAATGTTAATTATGCTTAAATACAGTCTTTAGACAGTAAGAACCATTCTAAAACATGTAAAACACGAATTTCCGACCCACTCCAAGCCATTTCCCCCACATTTGATGGCCCATGGTTTTGGGACACGACGGTCACCGGTCTCCTCACCTTTTCGATGGCCCATAACTCGGCATCTTGGGAGATAACCTGCGGTCCCATCGTCACGATATTTCAAGGTCATTCACCCTTTGGATATTTGATGATATTTGGTGATATTTGGTGATGAATTTTCAAGATTTGTCACGATATTTCAAGATCAGAATTTTCAATATTTGATGATATTTTGACGATATCTGATGATATTTGATGATGAATGGCAAATGACTCAATCTATTGAAATAGACTGATATCAGGAAAATATTTTGATCATCAATATTTGATGAATTTTGGTGATATGTAGACTGATAATGCCTGATAGACATGTGCATATTTGTCAAAATGCCAAGCGAATTTTCCGGATCCAAATCGGAGCCACCTTCACTGTGGCTGTACGAGGTTCGTGGAAAAGCAAGGCGCGTTCACCTGGGACACAGAGAGGGATCCAACATGATCCAACCATCCGATCAGGGCATGAAGCTAGACATCCCATGGAATCAAGATCCCAAAAACTCAAGACCCATAGACCCATAAAGAACCATAAAGAACCATAAAGAAGCGACAAATCATGGCCATAGCCATCCATAGCCATCCATAGCCACATTCTTGACCAAATGCCATTTGGGTCACCCACCCAACGGGACCCAACGGGTAGCCACTGGCCAGATCCAGACAGCCAGGAGACCAATGTAGGAGTTCTTAGCCATACTTCGGACCTTGGAACACGCCCACGCTGACTCAAGGTGGACATTTTTTTAGTAGGCAAGCCAAACGTTTGGGCCTGTTTGTTAGGCACTTACTTAACACTAACCTCAAAACTTCACCAAATGTTTATTGAAACTGTTTGAAGTTTCAAAAGCCAACCACCTCTTTATCCATATCTTCACGGTGTGTTCCGCTCCAACTGAGGTCTCTGGGGTCTCCGAGGTCTCGAGCTCGTTTCTCCTCCCCCTGTGCATCTTTGATAAAGACTTCCAACTCGCCCTGTGCGATGACGAAGAAGGAAGTGCCCGGCTCACCCTGCTTGATCACCTCAGTCATCCAGGGAAACCATAGGGAAACCATAGGGTTTCTTTCACATCGATGTTAGTTTCCCATAGTTTACCCCAGGGTAAATTACTGGATATTAGGCAATAAATATTGAACCTCCACAGGTCCACCACACTTCACCAAATGCCAAGGATCCGTGTCGCCCTTGGCGTACTTCTTGGTGTCGAACCTGATTGGTGTATCAACCGGGGATCATCAAATCATCCAAAACATCATCAAACATCACCAACATACATATATATATATATACATATATATATACATATATAAATTCATATATATATATATACACATCATCAGCGTACGCCAAACTCCGTAACATCTGAGTCCTTTCCACCAAGTAGCGACTCCACAACCCTCTTGGTCTGTTCCTCTGAGAGGTGTCTGAAGATGTGCACCTGGCGAGCAGGTGAGGAAACGCCCCCCCTTGTATGGTCCAAATAGGAATTCCCCTACTAAACCATGGTTTCGGGGGATGTTTAATGTTAGAGGGAAGGGACTAATGATTGTATCCGGCTAATTTGTGGCATGCCATTGGCTATGTCTTGGTTGATTCATGGGCATGTTCGGTGATTTTGCAGGATTCAGTATGTAGTGCAGCTACCCCCCCAAGAATAACATTGACCCCTGCAAACCTCCAATAGAAAGATCATCTTGCAAACCTAAAAATCGTTTGGTTCAATCTTGGTATTTCAGCTGGGCAATTGTTTCCAAGTCCATCGATTCTTAAACTTCCAAATTCCCACAGTAATCCCTTTGCTGGGAAATAACCATCCATAAGTTGCATCCCCATATAAATATGCCTGAACATGAATATACCCTACTTTATGGCCACTTCGAAGGAAACATGCCGTTGATGTTCTAAACTACCATCAAACTCATGGGCCATGAAGTTCCATCTATGGTGAAGCCAATTACAAACCATCCCCCAGTCATCATCATTTTTATGGGTGGTAGAAACGGACCATCCCATTTAAACATATTTAAACAGGTAGGCTTTTATTGCCTTTACCATCTGGTTTTTTAACATAGCCATGGAAAATCACCATTTTTAATAGGTAAACCATCTGTAAATGGGCCATTTTCCATGGCTATGATAAATAACCAGAGGGTAATTATCAAATCATTGGTGTTGTCATTCGGAATGCCATGGCCATCCCCATCCCGGTGCGCCTTCTTGGCCAGGAGCATCTTTCGAGTGAAATCGCTGGCATCTTCAGCGCTTCCAGCCTTGATGAAGCGCATCCAACTTCGACCCAGGGGGAAAGCTATAGGCTATAGATGTACTTGGAGGATCCAAGTCATTGGTTCATAAGCCTAGTGACTTAGTGATCGTAAGTCCCCAAAAACTCAGTGGACTTTTCCGACTTATCCCATGTATAAATGAATAAAACTGACATAAACTGACTATGGTTACGTTCACCAGTTACGGTCCGTGGGATGATCCTCCAAGTAGAGACTTCATGTTCAAACACATCTGGCGCTGGCATATCTTATTTTTGTTTGGATCGTCTTTTCCGATAGACCTTTGTAACGATTTTTAGAACTCGTGAAATCCCAGAAAATATCATATATCATATTATATCCCCACATCAAATCACATGAAATCACATCCAATCACCCTATGAAACCCTCATAGGGAAATCTCATCCCACCGCCGAGGGACCGTGGAGACGCCCAGGCCTTTCAGTGCAGAAGCCAATCCGTCCCGGGTCACGATGGCAACCCTGGGTGGTCACACCAGCTTCAGGGCCCAAAAACTGGCGGAAGGAGGGACAAAAACTGACAATTTATAGGATTTTTATGGATTTTTTGTTGGGAAAATATGGGACAATTGTAGTGATCATATAGTGATCATCTGATTGATTGGCTTAACATTCCAGTTGTTGATGTATGAAATATCCTATAATTTTCCGGGGAAAAACCTATCCCAGATCTTCTCTATAACCCATATCTTCCCAATGGCTTCAGTCAACGTTAACGCCCCATCGCTGGGTCGAGCGGCCGCGCCCCGCGTTCTCCGGCTTGGAGGCTCTTGGTCTCGATGGACGTTTTGTGCAGCAAGGCCTTGTTTCATTTCCAGACTTGTACGTACAGTTTTGAATATAAATAATGATAAATGATAACTAATGTCATTTATACATATTTATACCATGATGTACACCTAATGGATATCTTATTGAATGTAACTAGATTTCAATACACTGAATGAATCGTTAATGATGATTACAGTAACCTTGGCTCCCCTCTGGTTGGCAATGAAACATGGGAATGGACGATTCGCAGCCATGAAGCTCCACGATAACCCTGGGGAGATTCACGCCACAATCGCTACGACCCCCCTGAAAAGCTTCGCCCAATGGTATGGACTCAAAAGCAAAGAATCGCTACGACTTTGACCCTTGACTGTACTGCATGTCATCACATATTATGACACATATCATCACGTTGGCATATCATAAACATTGCCATATTAAATATATGATCATCTATGATAATCTATGATCATCTATGATGATGGTGATGATGATGATGATGATGATCATCATCATCATCATCAACAACACACACATATATATAATATTATATAATTATATAATTATATATGAATCATCACATCACGTCACAACATCACCCCAAGACTCCACAACTGTCATTCCCTAGCCATCCCCACCATCCCCCGTGTCTCCCTAGCTGTCTCCCGCGCCCATGGTATCCACACCTCATCCTCCAGGTAGTTGCCACGTCCCAGCTTCACCTCTTTCTCCTTGATCTTCCCAGCCAACGCACCCTCCAGGACGACCACGAAACGTGCTCCAACTTCGACCTCGAAGGCGATGAACATCGACATGGGAGATCCAAGGTCCCTTTTGGTAAAGAAAGCATCAGAAACTCAGCACAGGGACATTTTCGTCATTTCCTTGAAAAAAATCTTGAGGGATGGAAAGCAGTGCTTCAAGATCTGGGAGTTGATGTTGAGAAAACATCCCAGATTTTGTTTGTGATGAAATATAATTTTTACGACTTTCAGCCAACCCGATGATTTCCAAAGTCCAGTTGCTTCTGCACCAGCATCGAAGTCCTGGGTGAACAACAAATTCCCGAAAAAGGTCCCCGACTTGGAACATTTTCTACCCAAATCATCCCAGAGCTACATGGAGGTGTCTGAAAACATCGCGAGCACCTGCAACCTATGTGGATTTCTCTCTACTCCACATAGGTATTTTTCAAGACAAACCTACCTTGCAAAAACTGAGGCAGTTCAAAGGCCAAGGGTCTTTCACAGTTACAAATTTCAAAAGCTCCGCGCGCTGACCCGCGGTGAACTGCGAAATCAATGGGCCTCGGTGTTCGAAAAGTTGGAACAAAATGGTGTTCCGATGTCACCTGCATGTCCCACCTATGTCCAGGGCAACATAGCACAAGATGCTCCATTAGAATTCTAGCTTCGAAACCCAAAACCTCATCAAGATCATCAAGAATAATTATCAATAAACAACTGATCATCCAACATTTTCCGGGTGTTTTCCCCAAAAAGTCAGTTTGCATTTTTGCATTTCAGGTCCTCCACCACTGGGCCGTTCGACGGCGACGAAACACACCACTGGGCTCCCCGGCAGTTTTTCAGACCCTGCTGGATGGCATTTCTCTCCAGCACCGCGCCTAAATCTTCGCCCAGCAACACCTGGAGCAGTTGTGGCCGTCGGGCTGAGATGGTTTGAAGTTTGAGGGGATTGGGAAAACATTATATATATATATAATTATATGCATACATACACACATGTATGTATATTCATTATAATTATATATATATGTGTCAATATATGTATACATGTCTATATATATATATTAGATCTATATATAAAAGTAGCCACAAGGTTTTCCACTTCAAGAGATGACACCAAAAGATGATCCGCCGATTCCTCCATTGGAATTCTCATCGTTCCAGTGACAGAAAGCGACGTGAGGTCACGACATTCATCCAAATCATGTCTCCAATGTATTCCCCCGAATGTTCCATTCATCATTCATATCCCATATCATCATATAATATCATATATCATCCATTATTATCCCATAAATTATGCATTATCCCATTATCATCCACTATTATCCCATATATGAGATATTTTCCCAATGGGATATCCCATTTATCCCATTCATATCGGCCATGGCCATCCCTTCGCCACAAACTGAGCTGATCCGAACAACGCACGCCGCGGTGGGCCACCTTCAACTCCGCCACGCTGACACAGAGGAGCTCAGAACGTCCCTTGGAGACGACGGTGGTGGTGAACCTTGCCGCGGGGCGTTCCGAAGGCGAAGATGTTGATGCGGAAAGGACACACATATCACATATCTATCATAGAATCTGTTTGATGGTGAAAAAGCCATCCATCTTTTCGGTGGTTTTTTCAGATGTTATAAGTTTTCTGAATTTTTATCTGACAACTGTTGATCATTGTTGATAAAGGACGTTTCCAATCAGACTTTTGGCTGCGACCAAGAAGCGGCTCCTTTGAAACCAGCTGAGCTTCTCCGAAACCCTCCTGGCCAGGGTTGGAAATGGGGCATTTCTCAAATCAACATTGGGCTCATCACATCTTTGGGCAGTTTTTCTTGGTTCTTCCTTCCGAAATTGCACTAAACTGGGTGATATTTGGCTCTCCGATTTTGGGAACCCCCAAGACCCAAAGTGAACCCACTGAGGCCCGGGCATTTTGACCCAGACGTCGAACTTCTGAGCCATCCACAAATTCACCGGTACTTTTGACCTCAAGCTGCGATTCGCATGGCTTCCTGGAAAACCAGCCATAGCCAGCCGGTTCGGAGTTCGGTGACTCTGCCACGTGCCTAAAACATCATTTAACCGGTCGCTATTGAATATGAGCCATTTAGTTCCATGACTTACCTACCAAGCAGCTAAGCATGGTGATTTTCCAGTTCGCAAAACTGTGACATGAGCAGAGGACAACTAGATGCCCATTTATCATCATTTATCATCATTTACATGCCTATATATATATACATATAAATAGCAGTTTCCATGGTTTTTTCTATTAAATCCACCATTCCTATGGGAAACAATCCCAGATTTCGCGACCGCTGAGGGCCCTGCGCTTCCGCCGGAGTACTCCGTGAGCTCACCTGCCCATAATCAATATATCTGGATGAACATCTGGATCTGGATGAATTGTAATAATTGCGTATGGGTAATCAATATATCTGGATCTGGAATGATCTGGATGAATTGTGTATGGATAATATATATATATATATCTTTCAAGAATCTGAATTTCAGAATGATCCATGTGATTACTATTATCCATGTATCTGGATGAATTGATGTAAGTCAATAGTAATAGACCGATCTGACATAAGGCCACCAATGCCAATGGGGAATAGTTACACCCGTAACAACCACCATTTCAGTGACGTTGCGGTGAGGGTGTTCTAATTCATCTAAATACATTGAACAATACATGCCATGCAAGAGTCATTGAACGATACCGTCGCAAACACGCCAGCAATCATTGGCTGGTAAGGGGTTCACACCCCTGAAGCAATAACATAAAACACCTGACTCTCATTTTGGATCATCATCCCACTTTAAGAATCTTTAAGAACGGTTTAGGGAAGCAAAAACCAACATCTTTTTGAAACCAGGCACTTGACTATCCACCGTTTGGCAACCGCGACGTGAAGAACGCCCGCCTTTCTTCACAAAGTATATGGCAGTCTGATCTTCACCCGCTGTGACCACTCGAGCCTCAAAAACCGAAAAAAAGACGTGAGGATTTCCTACACTAGCCTACACTGCCACATTTCAATAGCACTTTCAATAGCACTAGTGCTTACTAGTCATCACTCCCATCATACCCCATATGGGACAGATCTGTCAACGTCACCGGTCCTTGTCCTCAAAGACTTCCGAAAAGGTGGCCTGGCGAGGTGACCGACTCACCGCTGTTGTGGGGAACCCCATGGCCTGAAATCAAACAGGTTCACACCTAGCATCTCCGGTAAACGTTTACATAGCGAACTGGAAAATCACTATCCAACTAATAGGTAAATCAACTATCTTTATCTTTTACGGGCCGTTTTCAAATTTTTCAATAGCTTTTTGTATGATTACCAGAGGGTACCTAGCATCATCTAGTAAAATCATCTAATAAAACCATCTCAAACCATCCAAACTTCTCAGATTTTCCTCCAACATCACCATCCAAACCATCGTTTGAGCCATCGTTTCGCAGATTTTCTCCGCCTCGGCCAGGCACAACTTCTGTTTCTTCGTGAGGCCCTCGAAGATGGACGTGGAATCCAAAAACTTCAGCGTCTCGGCCTGGCTCCGGAAGCTGGATCTTTGGGTGAAACAACGGGTGAGAAACTCAACATCTGGAAATCTTTGGAAATGGATATTTAGAGCTCGAACATCTGGAGAGTTGATATTAGTTGGTTTGAAGGGTCACTTGGAGGTTGTGAATGTGTATAAAAGGTATGCTTGAGCTCCATTGCTTGGGCATTTTGCAAGTTCCAGCAAGTTCCAGTCGTGAGAATAAATACCTACAATTGCCAGGAGCGCAAGCGTTGAACTGAACTAGATTTAGGTAGGATTCAAAACTGCACTAGGCCTGACGTAATGCTAATGCTGCTACCTCATCCAACAACGTTTGAGATCTGCTAAATCACAAATTAATACAAATTATATCATAAAAACATGACATAGACGCTAGCGGCAAAAAACCTTTACGATGAACCATGAATATGAGATGAACAGAGAAGTATCCGTGGAAAAGCGCCATCGGTTCCATGGAAATGTTCCACGAGTTCCGCCATCGCACGTGCCTGGTGCTTGGTCGCATTTTGCTGCAACATCTGTTTGAAGGCAATGCCACTGGCCTCAGAACAAAAGCAGGTGAATTCCCGTGAATTTGCAAAATGCATCCGCCAAAATAGCTGGTAGTTATGGTTATGCATCTTCATCTTAAAACCTGTCCCTACCTTTCATTTTCACAGCATTTTTCCATATTTTTCCCATCCCCAAATTCCAAGAATCACAACTTGCAGCCCCTGTTTTCCCCTTTCCCCGGTCGCCAAGATACGCCCCATACCTGGCTATCCGTTGTGGCTTTCACCGTCGCTGTGCGCGGGCAGTTGTAGAGTAAGGCCAATCCTCCGAAGGCACATCCTGCAGCCATCAGTTGGAGTTATTACTTGGACCAGTTATTCGTTGGGCAATTCCAAAGGGGGGTCACCAGCTTTGATATAATATTATATATATGTAAAATTATATATATATAAGGAGCCACATAGTATATATAATCTATCACCAAGTCAGGTAACATGGGTTTAATATGGTTTAATATAAATCACATATGTCACCACCAAGGGTAATGACATGGCTTCCCATCTAAGATCATCATCTGGTTAGGAAGAAGCTGGTAACCGGGTCAAAGAGATGATCTTCCTGAACAACAAGTTTTAACATGCATATGCTGCATATATATATATCACTATATATAACTATAACTATATAACTATATTATATAACCATATAACTTATATTAACTATATGTATAAGCTATTAGCAAGTTCTGAAAATTTTCGGGATGCCCCGGTTTTGAGGCGGCATTTTCACGATCTATGCACTTTATTTTCATGATTTGGAGGATGGAAGCTTCGTGCTCCCAAGACCGGGACTTTGGGTGAAGCCTGTGGAGCCTGTCCCCCAGTTGTCCCGACCGAACCACTGGGCTCAGGCTCTCCTTCGCCAATGGTGTTGCACACAATACTTTTCACCTCGCCAGCTGCTGAGTGTGCCCCATTGGGCCCAGTTATGAAAGCAACGTTGCGTTATCTTGGCATGGAAAGGAACAGAAAATGAGAACCATCAATATTATTCAATATTCATAAATTATTCAATGTTAATAGATTACTATTATAAATAACATTAAATAACTCAATATTATTCAATATTAATGAATCAGAATCCATGGAATCCATGGGGCCATCCCCTGCTCTCCATATCTATACATATCTTGTCATTGAAAAAGTGCCAAGGTGCACTCACTTCCATCGAGCCGGACTGGGTCACAAAAAACCTCAGCTGATCTCAGCAGCGTCTGTGGTGAGGTATGCCACCATATAGGCGGACACATGCTGATGGGTGGCACTTCCGCAATGGGAAAGGAGATTCAGGAGATATAACAAAAACAAAGCCTAAGGGTCTAGGCGAAATCAGCCATTTCCTTGTCATGTCAATACCCTCTGGTAAACATACAAAAAACTATGGGTCAAATCACCATTTTTCATGGTCAAATCACCATTTCTAATGGGAAAACTCACTATAAATGGCCATGTTCAATAGCAAACTTTCCATCAATGCTGATTCACGCTGCCAAGATGCGTGGTCCCCAATCTGCCCTCTTGGATGATGGGCGTGCCCTTGCTAAACTCGTAGAACTGACGGCGGTAGGTCAGCTGAAACATGAAACAGCGATGTTCCCCAAATTTTATGCACAAATTGTCCATTCTTTCCAACAGAAAAGCCACATGAAAATGATATTTATCTCCATGTGACTCCATGTGCAGATGATTCCCCATTGGTTGATTGGTCCCGTTTGGGTGATCTCCGGTTCACCCATTGGGGCCCTCGGTTTATTCGGCGTGCCTTGACTGTATTCAAAATCGATTCAATTTCAGCATCATCCAACCTGAGACGTGCTGCAGGCACCAGAGAATCACGTGCTGCTGCAGCAGGTGCTGCTTGGCTGCTGAGGCGATGACGTCGCACATAGGCGATCCTGCTTCATGGCATTTTTCAGGAAAGTTCGGGTGGATTTATCCTCAGCGCCGCGAAACATCCTGCTATATCCTGGTGGTTAGTATGAAAAACTACGACAACTACGAAAAAAGAACACAAAAAAATGGAAAGGTGAAGGGCTGGAAGCAGTTGCCATATGTTGCCATCTTGAGTTTCAGACAATCTCCTTCTTCACCTGAAAAGGGCAACGCATGGCCACACCAGAAATGTCACTTCTGAGAGGGAGAGCTGAATCCGCAACCCTTCCATCCACTGAATCCACTGTAATCCACTGGCTCATCATCATCTTCCCCATATCATGGGACCAAAACATGAGAAAAGGTCTGGCTGAATTATAGTAATTCACTAGGCCACTAGGCTGAACATAGCTGTTATCATACGGCCCAAATTTAGGGGATTCCTACAATCCAATTCCCTTCATTCCAGTGACGGAAAGCGACCTGAGGTCATCATAATTTACCCAGAACAAACGCCTTTTTCAATGCCATGACCAACACCTGCCTCGAACTTATCAAGGTGTTCTTCCACCGGTGGGGCCTTCCGAGATGTACTCCTGATGGCAAACAGCAACATCAGCTCAGCAACTTGGTTTCACTTGTCTATCCCCCCAAAAAGTGGAAACATCTCAAAGGAATGTCTCAAACCCGACCACTGGGGACCACTGGGATCCGTGCCCAACTCGTCGTTGTGTGGCCTTTCTGGCATATTCTCGCTTCTTGTCCTGTCGCTTGCGGGTTTTTCTCAAGGCCTCCACATGCTAAACCCGGTGTAAAACACTGGTAGCCTCCAGGAATTTAACATAGCCATGGACTTGTCATTTAACAATATATCCCATTGTCTCCCATAAAATCTCCGACAAAAATTTCCCATAAAATCTCCGACATTATCTCACCATTGTTTTCCTAATGGAGTCCTGGAGCTCCCCCCCAAAAAAGAAAAGTCCTGCGGCGCCAAGGAGGACATGGCCTCTCCGGCGATGTCGAAGTGACAATTTTCTGAACCATTCAGGTCGTCGGCAACTCATTTTCCTTTAATGTCAATAAGTAGCAACCATAAACCAGCCATATGTTGATGGTTTATAGCATGTTTTATACCATTGACCATCCATGAATTTGTTTAAAAATTGGGGATGGTGGATCCCATCTATTGCATCAGCATCTCCTCACCGAAAATATCATTTAATGTGGTTTAAACAATCATAAATCATCCGTTTGGATCCGTTTGGGAATGGTTTATAGCACCTATCAAAATGGTGATGACTGGGGGATGGTTTATCCAAAATATCCAAAGAATTGGAGTCGACATCTCCAATTCACAAAAAACTGAAATTCGTCACGGGCTCACTTTGCCGATGGGCTCCATACTTGTCGCATGCCTCATTGGAAATCATCATCCCAAGCAAACTCCTTTGGGGATGCGCAGTTGAAGATCAAACTGAAGTACTGCACCCTTTGCTTCCAGCCCAAGATTCTCCATGTTAACCATAAACCAGCATTTTTAAATATATATTTTTTGCCAAATCGATATTGGAACATGCTAAAAACATCTGAAAAACGAGTTTGAACATTGGAAACTCATAAAGTCCGGACCTTTTGGGGCATGGTTCCAAACTGGGTCACAGCTATCTCGCCAACCTCCCTAGTGCACAAGCAACAATCGCATCAACATGGCAACAGACATCAAAACATGGACCCTCCACTCCGGACCATCCACTCCGGGGAGAACCTTCGGCGATGATGTGGGGCTTTGCCCGGAAACCGCAAAGGATGACACTCAGGGGCCGTTGCTGATGGTTACCGTATCCGATCTCGAGGTAATCTGCTGATGTCGTGCTGATCAGGACTTTAAAACCAGAAAGCATTCAGCGCATTTTCGGGTTGTGGACTGCAAAAACATGGAAAAATGGCTTCAAACCTGTGGAAATCAGCTATGGATATCTCGAACATGTAGCTGCAATTTTAGTTTTCTACCGTGGCCCATGGAGACAGCATAGACAGCTTGAGACTGATAGGACCACTACACGCAAGGACCAGGATTCAGAAACGGTCTCTTCGTCCTGATGTATGGATTTTCTGGACCTTCTCATTGGGTTGGAAGATTTGGGAGTCGCTTTGAAACTGATGAATGAGACGCATCTTCCACTTTCCCCCAAGAAAAGACTTCGGAACCGACCGGCAAGCACCAGCAAGCCGTGCAGTCTGATGATGTCTGATGTACTATAAGAACCACAATCATCATATCCCGATATATCCCGGGCCCACTCTTGCCATACGCACGCCACTTTTTATGGGGACCTTACGGGATCTTCCAAAACCACCCAGCCACGTGATCGAACCCAACTCTGTCAGGTGCATGGCACTGTTGCCATCGCAACACATGGAGGCGGGGGAGATGGCACTGAAGTAGTTTACCCTCTGGTAAACTCAGAGTTTGCTACAGAACAATCACAATCTTTAAATATTTTCAATAGATAAATGAACTGTAACTGGGCAATTACCAGAGGGTAACAGTTTTACTACTTCCAAATGTAAGGCGATTGGCTATTACATGCCATCAAGATTATCATCAAAGATGGGAGGTTTACCATCAAACATGAAAATTCAATCGTCACAAAATCAGACTTTCAAGGGGAGGGCTGAACAGCCAAAAGACACTGCCATTAATGGCAGGAAAAGGGCCACATGTTTGGCCTTGAATTTCAATAACTATAGCAGGAGCAAGTAGCATCCAGAAGCTTCGGATATCTTTGCTTTAGGGCTCTGATATGCTAAAACGTATGACGCATGACGCAATCACCGACCGTTTCTTTCATCATTTTCTTGACAATGAAAGACACGGAAAATCGCAAGTTGAACCCAAAATCTGTAACCCATGGGATATCATGATATCATGGCCCAAAATCCAAAATATCCAAAACCGGTCATGGGATCAATCTTGACCCACGCCGCATCCGCAGTGGCGATGTCCCTTGGAGAGCATCGCGACCACTTCATACGGGAGAACCTTAGGTGGACACCAAAACACCCATCAACGTGGGATTTTTATGATTTTGGGATATGATGGAAAAACGAGACATATATGATCTATATGCATCTCTACATGCATATACATATATATATATAATTGTATGGCATTTTGATTGATTTTTATTTTCTGCAATATGAAATGTTCCTCATATGGGCTCCCAAAAGAAAACACATCGAATGCGAAATCTAAGGGCGTACCAGTATTTCACATTTTTAGGGGAAGGAATGACGAAAATGGCATGGCCGCTTTGATTTCTCAATAGGTCAAACTTGTAACTTCTCACATTTTCCGCTCTGCTGCTTGTCACCCCCGGATGGTATAAGAATCGGGCACCTCACACCTCGTAGCTCCTAACCTAATGTTACCCATTCACAAACATACAATATATCTAAGCATCACAATTTGAGTGATGGTGCAATCCGGGCTTACACGGGCATATTTACATGTTTAACACCAGAGTTTCCTCAATTGACCACGTTTAACTTGCCATTTTGTGATGTTTTCCCAGGTTTTCGTCCCATTTTCGTCCCATTTTTCCCATGGGTGGCCCGGCCAAAGCGAGCATCAAAGGCCCGAAACTCCGAGATCTGTGGGTCGATCACCGAGGGACCCCCTTCGTCCATGATGAACCTGGAAAGTTCCGCAGATTTTTATGGGATCCCCCTGGTGGATTTATGGCTGAAATTTTCTGATATATTATGATATATTATGATATATTATGTATTATGGAAATGCATGATGTATTATGGAAATGTACAATGTGTTTTGGAAATAAATGTATGACATATTGTATATGGACGACCTGTATGAAATATATGATATATTAATTATCTGGGTAAATTATCATATTTCACTAACCTGAATAGTGAAGGGCCATTTGGGGATTATTTCCCTTACTAACCATTATTCCCAGTGAGGTCGCGGTGAGGTCGTTATAATTTACCCAGATATTATGTATTATGGAAATGTATGATGTGTTATGGAAATATATTACATGATATATATATATATGGACCCATATGACATATATGATAATCTACGACCAGGAGGAATTTAGACAGGACATGTATGGAAATTTGTGTGATATTATTATATCATGTTATATAATTAGTGGTGATAATGGTGTCAATACTTGGGGGCCATGATAGGGATTTAAAATTCATGAAAGCCAAGGGGTAGATGGGATGATCATGGGATTTGGATGACTATGACGTGAATGTTCCAATGGGAGGATTTCGAGGGGGGGACTCTAGTGATATGAGCGCGTGTGAATCTACGATGATTTTTCATGCAGAAAATGGTGCTTCGCCGGTGGCTGCCCCGTTTTGGGACCCAAATGGATCCAGTGAGCAGTTTTCAGTTGACCCCTGGTGTATGAGTGTATGATGGTGGTTGATGGTTACCCATACGGGGTTGCACGATAGTATTCGCACTGCTGAAATGGGGGTCCCTATCGACGAACCAGTGGACAACAGAAGCTCTCACCACTGCCTGGGGAGCTTCAACCAAAGTAACTTCCATTTCGAAAGTTATTGATTCACAAGGGCTCGCATCAGCACGCATGCCTCATCTGCCCTCACCATCCAGCACCAAGCAGCTTGAAGATCTTTAGGCGATCCTCCTCATTACCTTGGTTTTTTCTTGATTTAGCTGAAGAGGGCCCCAACAAATACATCTGTTTGCTCAAAACTCCCCATGTCTAGTGGATTTCCCGGTGGAGACCCAGTGTTTTTGGCGGAGCCACCAGAAAACAAAACGACAGTTGACGTCTTGGCATTGGAAATGATGGGATGCAACCGGAGTGCTGGCCCGGATCTGTGTGCAGGTCGTTTGGGAATCCTTGGGGAAGCAGAACTGCAGTTCGTGGGGATTGTGATAGGCTTGGAAAATCAATGAACTTTGCACATGCTCATCATCTGCAGAGGGGCAAATGATCTAGCATCATCTAAATCAAACATAATGTAACTTCTCATGATCCGTGTCAGAAATATGTTTCCAAAGATGACATCTCGTGCAGGCCAAGCGTCAGAAAAATCATTGGGACCTGTGATTAAAACCTTGTCCTTGTAGAAGCCAAACTTCTTGGCCTCTGACATCCAGAAGATCGCTTGACTGGAGATCTCTGTTGAACCCGAGACGTGCAACCAAGCAGCATAAATATATTCCACCAGGCACCAAGCACGAGTGTACAGATCTTCCATGCCTGATTCATCGCTCAACCCAGTGCGACTAGCTTCAAAATATGAAGAAAAACACAAATTCTCTTATGTTCTCTTCACTTTTTCCAAAATTCCATGAGCTCGACGTCAATTGGAGCATATTGGAGCTGCCTTTTCTGGGACCCAAACAAAAAAGACGTATATATATATAATTATATATATTATATATATGTATACACATACACATATTTATACATATATATATATATATCTGTATATATATATATATATATATATATATATGCATGTGTAGGTAGGTAGGTAGGTATGTATGTATGTATCTATGTATGTAAGTATGTATATTAAAAAAAGATACACATAACTTACACATCTTCCCCATAGATTCCTTGTAGCTTTCCCATGTCTGGTGGATTTCCCCGCATCCACTCGAAGAACCCGCGTCGAAACAAGGCACGGTTGCGCACCACAACATATCTCTCGGCCGATCTCAGCGCCTTGACCTGAGTGTCAGCACCACATCGATCATATGGCTAGGGATTTATGTTGGTTTTCCAGTTATGGTTCTTATATGTTCTTATCCATACGGATTACGGATTTAAAAAAACACCCACATCCTCATTAGACTTCTGATGATGATTAGTGTTGTGATAGTTGCCGATAATTCATCACACAGTGTCTTTGCATCTCATTCTCTTTGTCGTTTATCATTATTGACCATTAATTGATCATTCCTTCGGTTTTGCAAATATTGCAGCAGTCAGTACATTAGACTATACCCTGTAGTTTATCATCAAGGAGAGACGTTTCTTGCATAGCTTCCCTTAAACCAAGAACTTCACATGGGGATGATTCTCTCGATTTTAACCATCTACGAATCTACGGTGAGGTCTTAGTGAGGTTGCTTCAAGCCTCCAAACGACAAACACATTGGTCCTTCGGGAGAACATCATCCCAAACAGGGGCCCCCGGGCCCCCAGTTGGAAAACAACACGGCCAATCATTTGGGGAGAAAACCATTCTCATCCATTGCAGAAAGTGGTGGACATAAAACAAACACTTGACAAAACATGTGAAAACCACCACTCAGCTTATACTGTACTAGTAAGATCTAGTAAGCCAGTATAAACCTGTCAAATCTCCTTCAATTGGCTGGGCTTCCTGGCAAAGGGAGCTTGGGGAATGGATTGGCCCAAAGCTTGTTCAATGTCACTCACATCTCCTGCGCTGTGACCCAGCTAAGCCAATGTCTCAAGCAGAGCTCCAAAACTTGATCAAACCAAACACCTCAGTGACCTCCGTGACATAGCCTGGTTCGAACTGGTGACACTGTGCCAATCTGTGCCTTGAAAGAGTGAAAAGGCGCAAATGAAGAGGTTGGGTTTCACCACATTCACGTCATAAGCATGTCGAAGGGAGTCCATAAATTCGTGGAAAGGCTCCTCGGATCCGGATCCAGCGGTGAAGTCACATCGAAAAGAACAAGTACAGTAGCAGCCCTGGAACATTGTGGACATCATTTGACATCCTTAAAACCTGTGGTTGCACAAGCCCCACTCAACAGTGAAGAATCTCTACATCAAAATTCTGGGGGACGATACATGACGATACCATTCAAATTCGCTGCAACATTCGCCGCAAACTCAACGTCTGTCCGGAGTCCAAGGCTCTCTCCAACAGTGCGTCACAAAATCCTGTACAGGCAGCCTCGGAGCCATGCGATACTAGATGGGGATTTCCGCCAACAGTAAGCCACAGTTTCCAGTACTGAGGAACTCTGCAGGAAAACCCTACATTTGAATATTTCATAAAAAACATGTTCCTGTAGATTGTCCCTTGTATAAACCATGGTATAAACCAATGCAGTGAACAGTCTCCAGGAGAAGCCGCCCAACTCCTGCAAACTGAGACGCACTTGCCACCCGTTCCGGACCAAGGTCATAGGCGCCCCAGTCTGGGCACAGCTGGGCTTCACGATTTCTTGAACCACGTGCCACCTGGGAACCACCGTGGTTCACGCGAAAGTGAGCACAGGATGGGGTGAGGATGTCATGGCGAAAAACTCTTCTAATCTGTTCTAGATATGTTTTTAATGGCTTGCATTTTTTGGGATATCTGAAACCATCTTATACCAACATTACCAACTGCGAACTGGAATGTTCAATGATCCGTTGAGACAACTTGCCCAGAGAAGGACCCCTTACGATAAGGACCTGACTCCGAAATCCGTCAAAATATGTCCTTTGGAGTCATGAAAAGGCCGGCAAATGTTCATGCCAAGGAACATCGATTTGTCGCGGTAAGTGGAACCAAAGTGTTGTTTGGCATCATTCTCAATGCTTTCCTTCCAAGGTCACGTGATGGAATGCTCTTTTGTGCCTTTGAACATCTTTGAAAACACAGGAAGAGACAAACCTCACAATTCCCTGTAATGTTGGCAAAATAATTTCATAAACCATCCCCCAGTCACCACCATTTTGATAGGTGGTATAAATTAACAATTCCCAGTCATGGGTGGTTTATGACATTGTTTTACCCACATTTAGTACAATCCAGCGAAATCATTTTCCAATATTTTCCAACCCACCAAAAACTGTGGTTCCAAGGGGCTAAAGCTGACCATGAGATCCCCCAGTGTGCAGGATCGCGGAGGTAGCAATACAGGGCCGTCCGTTCTGCAGATCCAAACTGATGCTCATGCCTGGTCAAGGGAGCCGTGCGCGATGAACTGAATGAGTTCATCTGATGTTAATATCTGTGTCCTATTTCACTTTTCATCATACTCTCCATCTATGTCAGTTTTTTCACACTTCGGTTCCATTTATTTCCCCTTTAACATCTCTATTTACCTTCCGGTAATCAACCGTGGCAAAATTGAACATCCCTTACAAATAGATTTTATAATAGGAACATCAACTATCAATGATGGATCTTCCAGCAACCCATGTTGATAGGTTTCCCTACTTATTATGGGTCATCATAATCCCCCCCAAAAAATATATAGACAGTATAAGTTATTATATATAAATATATATAAATATATATAATATATATATATTCTATATATTTTCTATATATTAACCAAAATCAACCAGGGCATGTATTTAATGGCTCAATTTACCCAATTTGCCCCCTCCTCTTCCCAGACCCCAACCGATTCTGGACTCGCGCCTTGCGAGGAAAGGCCATGTGCTCTTCAGCTGTCGCCATTGGGAGTCAACTAAGATGCTGGGCGGTTGTGACTGGGCCTGCACCGATGAGGATGGATTATGTGGATCATGGATAAGGGATATCAGTAACTATTCAAAATAACAGGCAGTACTGGATAAGATTCAGTATTAAACAACTATAAAACTTCAATATCATGTTGACCCGGAATTTTGCTAAACTACCAATTCATGAATGAGGAGGGATCGCAATTTACGAAGCTATTTTGTGGTAACACCCCCAATTAGCAGTCAAAGTTTATCAATCGGTTAACACTATGGGGGATAGAGTGGATAATAATGGATGAGAATGGAAATCATGGATATATTCGCGGAATTGAGTGGAAACTAATAAGATTTAATAGGTAAGAGAATGTAAGATATGAGGCGATCGAAATCCAGGTGATCACCTCGAAAATCCTCCGAGGCACATTAAAAAAGGCATCGAAATCGGCTGTTTGGACCACCCGCGTGGTCCCCTTCGGCCGAAATTTCGCTTGGCCTTTCCTGAGCGCGCCATGGGGTGAACTAATCGACTCAATTAAGTTGGATGAACCACCAAATGCCATATGACATCATATGACAACCTATCTTGCAACCTCACCTTGACATGTTCACAATCCTTTCAAGTTCCCATCTTCCTGTTCAAACGTAGCCTAAGATGCACCACAAATGTCCAAGGCTCTCCCGAGCACTCTCCACATCCTCTTTCTTCACTCTCATCTGCCGATTCTGCGGGTGGCATAGCAACACCTCGTGGCTCCCACAACGAGGTGCCCTAACGAACCTACGAGACCCCAAAAAATACATCGGCCGTCACCAGTTCTGCGGGGGTTTATTTTCAGGAAAAACCTTCCTATAGGATGCTGAAATGATCTGAAATCATGATAATCATGCCCGCCTCATACCGGATTTCCTTCATGAAGTCCAGTCGCAAGTGTTCCACCAAATTGGTGATGGTATGGAGCACCAGCCAAGGTCCCGTGTCACTTTGCGAGGACAAATCCACTTGAATCTCATCGCTTTCCAGCCTTTGATTGGTTAAAAAAATGAAACATCTTCCCAGTAGATTTCCCTTAAATATTAGCTTATCCTCCCCAAACAAGATCAAACAAGTAGGTTTCATTAGGTTTCCACATGGCTTAACCAATGGGACAATTCACGACAATTCATCAAAATGATCAGCAAAGCCAGGAAGCTTGGCGTGAATGCAGCAATCATGGCCTTCGAACGATAGGAAGCCGTGCGACGCGAAGAGTCTCAGCCGGTCTTTGCGACTGGATTTCTGCACCGCATAGCAAATCAGCCGTCGGAAGAGGCTGTCCTTGAAGCGCCAAAGAGGTCCCTCCCCGTTTCTTTTCCTCCAAAAAAAAAGGGTCGATTCCCCATTTTGGTGGATTTTCCATCGGAAACATCAACAAAATCAGCTTTTCTAAGCAACTTGCAGGTGTCTGGAAGGAAGGAGGCCCCAAAATCCAGCACGAAACTCTGCGGCGCTGCGGTTTCCACGGCAGCAGCCGGTGGCAACAGGCAGGGAACCAGGAAAGTGCCTGGGTCCACCTCACATACCAAGGCCACCTCCTCCATAAATCTCCTTGTGATCTAAGAGAATCCCCAAGGGAACCCCCAAGTCTGCTGATGAAAACACAGTGCTTAACCGTTAAGCCAAAAAGGTAGTGAAATGCCCCATGAATCAAATGTCACCCAGCAATTGGACAAATCATCTCCAAAAAATTGTCGGAAACCATCATCTGTAAACTCTCCAACGAATTAGACATGTACCAAGTGCTGAAACCAGCGCCCAGTCTCAGTAGGAACGCCTTCAGATGTGGCTCTTCGAAGCCAAACTCCCATAGTCGGTCCAACAGGCGCCGGGTCACCATGCCTTTTTCCCTCCAGGAATCGTACGCGGACTTCATTTCCAGTTTGATGACTTTGTGGTGTTCTTGTTCATGAAGGCTCCAGTCAAAAATCACCTGCCAAATAGATCCAAAAAGCAAAGTCCACTGTTGCAATGCCAAGGCAATTGCTTAAACTGTTTCTAGGTCATCTGGGCTGGTAATCAATGATCTCCGTGAAAATAGATATCATCAAAATTCGTCAATATCATCAACTATCCCCTTTGAAATAGCTTTTAAACATCATTAACATCCAGAAATTCTCCCAAAAAAATCCCAACAAACCAGCAGCAACTCCACCTGACACATGCCACTGACCAGCCATTGAGGCTGCAGAATCACAATTTCTCTCAGCTCCGCAGGTGTGGAAAAGTGAAAAAGGACGCCAAGTTCGTGGAACATTTCCAGCCTCGGGGGGCTCGTCAGCTATGTATCTGGCTGCGAAATCCCCAAAATTGAGGCTTGGGATGGAGAATAAGCCACTTTATAAATCTTTATAATTTAATATTTGGGATTTTTCATGATCATACAATATAATCAGGCATAGTCGGCTGGGAAACCCCCCATAAATGGGCACTTACAAGGAAACATGAAGTATAATTTGGGGATTTTCCAGCAAGCCGTGTTTGATTACCAGAGGGTAGGAGATCCTGCCATGAATTCGAGGCCATGGTGATTGTGAACTGAGGTCTGAGACCCTTTCTAGCAAAGGTCGAAGGACACACTGTCTTTGAAAAAATGTCGTTTCAAGTGTGGCTTCTTGCTTATCCTTCTAGAATCCAACATGGCTCGCTGGAAAATCCACCATGTACTTCGATGATTTTCTGACAAAAACACCTCCATTTGGTGCGGGATTTATATATACAATATATGTGTGTAAAATATGGACATACAGCAACTTGTATCCCCCTTGGAATTTGGGGGGTCGGGTTGGGGGAGCCAAAACGTAGAGGCACCCAACCCCAAACTCCCTACAAAATGGTTTTTAAATGTTTTTTTGATGAAAAACATTTAAAAACCATTGTGTAGGAATTATTTTACAAACCATTTTGTAGAAATAACTTCAGATATCTTCAGATTTCCAGGAATTTTATAAACCATTCTGTAAGGCTCAATCATTTTTGAATCAATGAGTTTACATTTTCCCAAAAAAAACTACAAACCATTTTGTAGGGATATTCGTTGTTTTTAGAAAAGAACCAAAACCATTTTGTAAAGGCAACACCAACCTCTGGCCAAATCCCAAAAAAACATATAAAACCATTTAGTAGTATTCCTTGAAAAAAATCAGGTGTTTTTCATTTTTCTGAAAAAACATCAAGACCATTTTGTAAAGTTGTTCAGCACATAAACCCATCTGTGAAAGTTCCCCCCCAAAAAAACAAAACCATTTTGTAAAACCAAACCTATTTGTGAACTATGGATTGACATTTTTCAAAAAAAACTATAAACCATTTTGTAGGTTTGTTCGTTGTTTTCAGCAAAAAACTACAAAACCATTCTGTAAGGCTAAATCATGCTAAATCTATATATAAAAATCTGTGTCTATCTGTATGTAAAAGATTGTAAAAGATTGTAAAAGTAGATTCCAGATGATTCCAGAATCATCGTGAATCATCCAGAATCCCCTTCCCACCACTACCATCCACTATCATCATCTATCATCCAGTATCATCCACTATCCACCGCTCCCATCACCATGCATCACCATGCATCACCATGCATCACCATGCATCACCAATATTCACCAATCATATCCATTCATATCCAATCATCACCATGCATCACCATAAACAATCATCACCATGCATCACCAGGCACGAAACCATGTGAATCTGCCGTTTCTTTTTTTACCCCTGTGGCTGCGGCACTTTGTCGTTCCATTGCTGAATAGCTACGCATAGCCAAACTACCGGCAGCAAACCTCTGCACTGGCTGCACCCAACTGTCTCACATTTCACAAAACAATATAAAACAATGCAAACAATCCCACTTGGAATTTGGGGGGTTGGGTTGGGGGAGCCAAAACGTAGAGGCACCCAACCCCACCCCACTACAGAATGGTTGAAGGCTCCCTACAAAATGGTTTTTTAAATGTATTTTGAGGAAAAACATTTCAAATACCATTGTGTAGCAATTATTTTACAAACCATTTTGTAGAAATAACTTCAGATATCTTCAGATTTCCAGGAATTTTATAAACCATTCTGTAAGGCTCAATCATTTTTGAACCAATGAGTTTACATTTTCCCAAAAAAAAACTACAAACCATTTTGTAGATGTATCCGTTGTTTTTTGAAAAGTACTAAAGCCATTTTGTAAAGCCAAACCCAATCTCTGGCCAAATCCCAAAAAACATATAAAACCATTTAGTAGTATTGATTAAAAAACACAAGTTTTTCATTTTTCTGAAAAAACAAAACAATTTTGTAAAGTTGTTCGGCACAACAACACATCTGTGAAAAGTTCCCCCCCCCAAAAAAAAACATTTTGTAAAACCAAACCTATTTGTGAACTATGGGTTGGCATTTTTTAAAAAAACTATAAACCATTTTGTAGGTTTGTTCGTTGTTTTCAGCAAAAAACTACAAAACCATTCTGTAAGGCTAAATCATGCTAAATCTATATATAAAAATCTGTGTCTATCTGTATGTAAAAGATGGTAAAAGATTGTAAAAGTAGATTCCAGGTGATTCCAGAATCATCATGAATCATCCAGAATCCCCCTCCCACCATCTCCCGCCACTATCCACCACTCCCATCACCATGCATCACCATGCATCACCATGCATCACCATGCATTACCATGCATTACCATGCATTACCATGCATTACCATGCGTTACCATGCATCACCAGGATTCACCATGATTCACCCGGCACGAAACCATGTGAATCTGGCGGTTGTTTTTTTTTACCCTTGTGGCTGCGGCACTTTGTCGTTCCATTCCTGAATAGCTACGCATGCCAAACTGCCGGCAGCAAACCTCTGCACTGGCTGCACCCAACTGTCTCACATCTCACAAAACAATAAAAACAATACAACACATTCTTCATAATCTTCATCATTCATCACAAAGTCACTACAGATTGGTTCTGCAATTTTCTTGGAAATCAGCACTGCGCACTGAAAATGACTACAGATATTGGTTTTGAAATTTTCTTGGAAATCAGCACTTATCACAAATGAAAACACAAAGTCACTACAAATTGGTTTTTCAGTTTTCTTAGAAACCAGCACCGAACCACCGACAAAGTCTACAGTTTGGTTTATGATTTTCTTGGCCAACACTGAATGGGCACTTTTTAAAAACCAAGTCACTACAGATTGGTTCTGTAATTTTCGTGGAAATGAGCACTGAGCACTGAAAATGACTACAGATTGGTTTTGTAATTTTCTTGGAAATCAACATTTGGCACTTTGAGAACACAAAGTCACTACAGACTGGTTTTTTAATTTTCTTGGAACCCAGCCTCAACTGGCCGATAATGTCTACAGTTTGGTTTATAATTTTCTTGGCCAAAATTGAATGGGCACTTAAAAAAAACAAAATCACTACAGTTTGGTTTATCAATTTTTTGGGGCACTACAAAATGGCTTCACCCAACCCTTCCAAAAAAGCTAAAAAAAAGACCTATATCATTTTGGTTCCGTTTCTGGGGGTTAACCCCTACCATTTTGTAGAGGAAATTCCAAGGGGGATCAACTTGTTATGTATAGACCTATATGCGTAGTATATAAAACCAACCAACCCTTCCAGCCCCAGAAGGTCTCTTTTGAGCGTAAGTTCCTTGGTTGTTCCCAAGTGACATTGGCATCAACTGCCAAGCCGGAAGGCATTGTTCCGCTGCCATTCGCTTCATCTCAGTCATTGTTAAGAAGGACTCCTCCTGCTTCAGCAAGATGTCCAAGATACCGCGCCAACCTCGACGCGTTAAACGCGTCGAAGAAAGGGACCCCTAAAGAGATAAATAAATAGGGAAAACCTGCAGGACACATTGTGACTGAAGATTCAACATCAGGGAAACAAAGAATCTCAAGGATTTCCGTCCAACACCTACAAAACATATCATCATCAAACAAACGCTAGAAAAACATCCACGAAGTCAGGAATCTCTCCCTTCCTCCCTTCCCCAAAAAACGGTTAGCTCCCAGGGGCGAATGGGGATGGGTCGTTCCAGGTACTCCTCCGGATCTTCCTTCGCCACCACCTCGATGGCATGTCTCAGCTCCGCCACCACGGGATCAGGACTTCGGGCGCCGCTTAGAGAGTTGTCGATTGGGTAGAACCAAAGGCCGTCCTGCTGGACGTCTCTAGCCCAAAAATCGCAAGTAGGAAACCAGGGTTTTTGTTCCCAAATATAGTTGTTTTCGGCAGATTTCCCCGTCAACCAAGTCTAGGACAATAGGGAAGACTGGGGGAAGTGATGATAAAACATCAAATGTGGGGGGTACCCTATTTTCAATCAAACCTACATGATGTGGTTGGGAAACTCTTTGATAATCACAGGATAGGAACCTGGGAGAAACCATTGAGCTATACCAAAATCATGAACAATTGGTGGTTGGATGGCCAAACAAGTTTTTCAGCTCATCCCAAACCATGGAAAACATGGCTAGTTGGATGGTAAACCCTTTTTTTGCCAGCCTTTCCGTCGGGAAATCAGGGAGCTTCTGCTTTTTTGAAGCGGGGTTGGTTCTCATCTTCTGATCTTTATTATGAATAAACAACGAGCCAGGACAGGAGTATATGAAGCAACCGATACCACCCATACCTCCGGACGCGGACAGGCTCGATATCCTTTGAACTGCAGCCATTCCACTTGTTGATGGACTATAAAAAACCAACTCATAGTAGCACCAGGTTACAAACAAGTTACAAAGTAGGATTGTCATCCAAGTAGAAAACGGATGAAAACGGCCAAGCAAATATAGAGAAGTAAACAAATTAAACAAACCCATAAAATCTCAGCAAACTCCCAGCAAAATGGACAGCCACGCCTCCTGCTCCTTGGCAAAGGGGGTGACTTGTTCCACCAAACGATCGCCCAAGATTTCAAGCAGCATTTCGCTGATCTTTTTATGCTCCTCAGAAGTCTTCACCTGACTTTTGAAGATTCATGGAAATAAGCTGGAAATGGGGTGACCAGTTCTTCACCTGGGGTGTTTTTCTGGAAGGAAATGGTACGGAACTTGTTGATTCTTGGTCGCTGGAACTCGAGTGGCACAATGAAGTGCCGCACAAACATTCTGGCCGTCGACCGTCGAGCATACTTTTTTTCATTACTATTGTCTAGGAAAAATCAAGGGGATTAGAGCGGCCTGGTTTGGACATGTTTGGAACCTGTTTGTCATCATTTAAATTACATATATACCAATCGGTCGTTGAATTCGGGGTCACCACTCTATTTTGTTGGCAAAAGGACATCTATGATACCCATACAGTACCATCCAAAATAGCACGTGGTGTCAAGATGCAAATAACATCAAAAAGGGGAACCCAAGCCAACTGTAACTCTTCCAATTGGCAAGTGGAACTCCAAAATGAAATCGCCAGGCATCACTGTAGCCCACCTATGCTCAAAAGTAGTAAAGGATGGAAGGAAGCCCTAGTTCTGAATCTGAGAGCAGTTGTTACAGCTATGGCTATAGCGATGCTAGCTATAGCAGCGATAGCTCGTCCTCATCAAGTTCTTCTTCAATTGCTGCAGGGAAACAGAACTATCACATGGCCGTGGCTCAAATGTATCCCAGCAGCATTTAATAACTCATTGATTCATAGTATAAATTTTTCCCATGCTGGATATCTATCACTATTTTATTAATGGGTTAAAACAAATCACTTTTTTTTCCACCCCAGCTTCCTGTGTGCAGACCTTTTCCAACGAGGCAAGATGAGGTGTTTCCAGCCCCACTTCTGTGCCGCCGGCACCGGATGCATCTGGAGGGATGGGGCAGTGACATGCTGACACGCGCTGGCTTACGAAACTTGGGACCAATGTCTAATTAGTGGTAACAGAACCGAAACAATTGGCCCCATATGTTGCGCTGGAAGTTGCATAGATTTGGGACCCAATTCCTGCCAATCTCAGGAGTCAAAAAAATAGTGGAAATGCTGCCTGCGTTCACCCTCATGTCAGATTGCATCTAGGCTGAATGAGGCATAGTGATGATGGTTATCAATTTTAAACTGGCTAGTGTTTCAGCATGCCGAATTTGTACACTCCTGAAAACATAGCCCAGTATATCAGGTAGCGGTGCCGAAGCAGTGGTTTGGTCTCTTCAAGAATTGCTTGGCCAACAGAAGGCTGGCATCATTTTAAATTGTCTATTTTTTTCTTACTATATGTCAAAACTAAACCAGCTTGTCCCTGAAGAGGTCATTGTCCTGGCTTCAACTGACCGGGCGCTTGGCCCTCTCAAGTTCATTTTGGCCAACACACCTCCAAAAACGTGTCTCGCATGTGGTTTGAGGTAGTTAGGTTCCTAAATGATCCGCTTGATGCCTTGGTTGCCATTGACCCATCCATCCATTCATTCTTTTGTCGCTAAGGCTATATACTGACATGTCGGGCCGGAAGCTCGACCACCTGAATCCAATGCTTTATTGTTGTGGATTCCCATGCACTCCGCTTCTAAGTTGCAAATTTCTGAGCATTACATCCTGATCCGGAAATATTATCCAACATAATTTTTGTGGGGAGGAAGAGTTGCAAGGTATAGCGGGCTACGGCAAAACTCTCGACTGATGGATGAACCAGCTGCAAAACCATTTTGGAGCACAATTGAAGCAGTGGAGAGGACAGGGACTTAAGGATGGAGAGTGTATGTAGATACAGTTGCAGGTAGGGATAGATTCGATTGCAAGTACAACCTTTCATCCTGTCAGAACGGAGCCTTTATTGGCAATCCTTGAGAATGTCTACGGCGTCATGGCCGTACGCAAAGAGGCCGTTGACCTATTCAAATTATGCCCAGATGTTTATGTATCTATAGCACCGAATGGTCCTGGTATGATTCTTCTCATTGTTTGTATTTGTCGCTACGCCTGCCCATTCGCTCAGATGTGGAAAGCAATGGTCAACATCCGCAAGAAGTACCTGATAGCTTTTGTCCGGGTGGACCAAGCCCATTTGGGGGAACCAGTATCGAGAAGGAGAATTTACATACTCTGCGTGAGGAGGCCATCAATAATTGCATCCAACAGATAAAACCATTTGACTATTTTATGTAATAAAGTTTGGATTACCTTCGGCTTGTTTGCGCAAGGGACGTTGCCCTGCGAAAGCTCAAAACGCATGACGATTTGGAGAAGCACTGTGGGGAAACATACAAGCACCTCACAGAAGCTGTTCCTGAGGGACCCACTGTGCCACTTGACCCTGCTTTTATTCTGGGTGATTATGGTAGATAGACAGACTTATAACTCTGCTTGCCAGGCTTTGGTTTTTTATTGGACTCATATGATCCACAAGTATCCGTATACCGTATACCTATTGCCCAAGGTCAGACCTTATGCTTCCAGAGAAATGCCCATATGTGGGTGCCATCCGGGATTACTTGAAGGAGGAGGCATGTAAGAAGAGACAACGCGGAGAAAACAAAGAAGATTATTTTGATCTTACCCACAAGTATCTAGACTGAGCTTGGTGTATTGAAACTTTTTGAGGGCAAGCAACAAAAAGATATTGAGCCGGTCCTTCTTGCAAAAATATATTGACAATCAACTTCCTTTTCATATTCTTCGCCCTTCTGAGGCCCAAACAGTGCAAACCCAGATGGCTGAAGAAGCACTGGCAGAAAATGTCCGTCCTGGAGGCAAAGTTTTAGTATTCTTCTGCATGATTCCATGGAAGGCATGTTGATTTCTACTGATGATTGCCTGAGATTCCAGTGTCTTTGGGAGGTCAATCCGAAGCAGTTGGCTGTTTGCCAACCTGCCCGACAGTTCTTTGTCAACCAGCGAACTTTGCATGTGACTGAGTTGAACTAATAGATGTAGGGACCATTTTTTTAAATAACTTTTAACTCCAGAGAAAAGCCGTTGAAGTAGTATATGGTGGATCTACTTCAACATACTTCAATGGCTTTTCTCCATTCTTGATTCATCTTACACCTAAGGCAATTGATTGCTTCACTACAGCGGGATGGAATGGCACAATCGATTTGTCGCAACAAATCGATAGGATGAGCAATCGGAATGAGAAGGTGATCCCATGCATAACCCCACAGGGTATGTTCTGGAACATGGAAAGGAAACGAATGCTCACAGGCTCAATGGGTGGGTCTGCTTACCTTTGATAGGCAATGCCTCCTCACACCCTCCAATACCTGCCAGCACTCTCTGATTCTGAGAGGCTTGGAGAAAATGATCTTTATGGGGTTTCCTGTGCATCGGCTGTCTTTAAGACACCTGAAAGAGAAGGACTGCGATTTTAGTATGAAGCTTTCCCCATGAATTTGCAAGCATGGCCAAATGGACCACCTGTAGGAACTTCATTCCTTGGCAGGAAATGCTTGGTACTCAGTCAACTGATTGTTGGAGATTACTCTTTGTCTCTTGGTACCTTGCCCCTTGCCTCTTTCCACTCTTCCTCCCAGGCGATGAGTGTCCGGTCAGTCGGTGCAGCCTGGATTCTCGCATTCGACTCAGTTGACATCTCTTTATTTTACAAAGAAGCTTTGAACAAAGGGTCAAAGCTGCTGTGAGAAAACTCAGGGTCATGTGCAAGAAAAACTGCACTTCCCGGAAATGACTTCTTAGGTGACTAGATGATATTGTAAAAAAACCATCATAGCTACATGATGGATGTCACATGACAGGCTGCAGCCACCACACATGAATTACCAGTTGCACCGATGACAATCACTGAATGACATGAACATGTGCATGAACCATCTTGGCTTTCAGCCCCTTCCCTAATGTAGCAAGATGCAATCAAAGTGCCAAGCGGTTTGAATTGGAGATGGAACATCATGAATCAACGACTTCACCCCCCAAAAAAGCATCCAGTTTAGACTCGATACACTAAGACATAGTAGCTCTTTGTTTTTCAACAGCTCACTGTCTCTCTTCCTCTCCTTGTCTCAATGTTGTGTCGCTATGTAGCTCCAGAATCAGAGTCTGAGTTTGAATCAGCCGAAGCGAGAAAGAAGAGGCGAACTGAGTCGGCGGCATCATCTTCAGGAAGCAGTTCCTCAAGCAGTGACGGTGAAGATGCAGAGCTGCGGGGGCCAAGTGGTCTTTTGATGTCTCAGCTTATTTCAATGAATGAAGGAAATGATCAAGATTCTTCAAAATACGCAGCACAAGGTAAGAGCCCAGAGCGGGTCAAAACTGTTTTGAAAGAACCATGCTGCCGAAAAAAGTGCAAGAAGAAACTCAGTTTCCGAATGGTTTTCAGGATGATTTGCTACTTTTGGACACTGAGCAAAACATCACAGGACTGCATCCTGTGGTCGATGCAAAACCGGCAGGGGGTTAACTTTGATGAATCCTCCAGTGAATCAGGGTCAGGTTCAGAGTCTTCAGAATCTGAATCTTCTCAGCAACGGCGATCAAAGATTTCTTGGTCGATGGAAGGCCAGGTCCAGAAACACTTTTTCTTCAGATTCAACAACAGTTCAAACCAGTTCAAACCAGTTCAAACCCTTAATTCTGCCTGAATTGCCTGGTTGCAGCCAGGCATCCCAGTCTGCAGGCTGGCCTTCATCAAGCTCCTGGGAATCAGCCCGGCCAGGCTGGTGAGGACCGGTCGCACATTCAAGGGTGTTGATGGACGGGCTTGGGGTTTCTTGGCAAAGATACTTTCTTGGTAAACCTGTTTCAAAGGCACTCTATGTTTTCATTAAAAAAAATACTTGGTGCCATCTTGAGAGCTCTCAAGCCACAGGCTCTTTAACCAATCGATCAACCCCAGCTGCAGCATCAGTACTTGCATTTCTGGAGAGAACCTACTGGAGCATTGGGGAAACTTTGCCACATGAGATTCTTGGACAGCATTGCAATTCTATTTATGTCCTCTAGAGGGGGTTATGTAAATGTATTGGGGGTTATGTAATAGTAAATGTCAAAGACTTTACGTTATTGTTTCTTAGAAGCTTGCCAAATCAGGTTAGATGTGAAAAATACAAAGGATCTCACAACAGAGACGTCAAGGGAGGCATTGCTTAAAGCACTGATCGACACCGCTCTTGAAAGTGATCTCGCCAGAGGCATGTTCAGATCTGGGCCAGAGAACCTACCCCGAAGATGGTTGCCACATGGGGCTTATTATGACCTATTCACACTTTACTGTGCCCACCAAGCCTCTGCAAGCGAGCCAGCTGCTTCAGCAAGTACTTTCTACAGAGTCCTGTCGGAATCTGGATGGAAGAAGAAGCTCAAATTCAGCCCACCAAGTAGTCATTCTAAGTGTTCAATCTGTTCTAAGTTGAAGTCTCAGATTCAGCATGCAAAAGGCATCCAACAGCAGACTGAAGCTTCAGATAGACTTTTGCGACATTTGGCAGGGCAATTTGCAGATAGAAGTGTCTATCATGCTTGTCGGTCAATTGCAAAAACCACTGATGAGCTCATATGCCTCATCACAGATTCGATGGATAAATCGAAATACGCCCTGCCTCGATACTACAGAGGCATGCCACCGAAGGACCTGGCTGCTGCTGACAGGCCATCGTTGGAAGTCACAACTTCGCTGGTACATGGGGTTGGTCTTTTCACATACTTGACAGACGAGAACCAGAATCACGGATCTAACTGGGTGCTGGAAACCGTGAACAGAACCTTACAGTATGTGCATGAATACTATCAACGAAGAGGAAAACCAGTACCTCCCACATTGAAAATATGGTCAGATAATACACCGAAAGAAACTTGACACTGATTTGAATGTTTGCGTCGAATTATTCTTTGGTATGAGCCCATATATTTTTGGATTCCTAGTCTTGTTTCCTTGTCTTCTTCCCCCACTTGTCTCAGGAAGTTAAGAATTCGATGTTCGGAAGCTGGTGCGGCGCAGTAACATGCGCTGGGTACTACAGGAAGTGTTCACACGAACACCTTCCTGTTGGACACACGCACGAAGACATTGGATTTTTGACTGCATGAAGATGTTTGAAGATGTTATGTTCATGTTTAAAAGTCATCCAGTGCGCATGATATCTGGCTCCGTTTCTTGACCGAGACGCTTATTTTGGACTATTAAGTCGATTTGTCCGACAAGGTGATGAGTCCGTGCCCCTTCCTCAGTCTGTTTTCAAAAACCAGGTCCATGTGACAATTGAACTTTTTATCTTAGGCAGTGTCCTGATGATGTGGTACAGCCCAACCCTCAATTTCATCCAAGTTTTTGGTTTTTAGTTTCAACTGCCTAATTATGCCAGTGAATCATCTGTGCCTTGAGGCTTCTACTTCAAAAGGTTGGTCCATTATTCACCAGGAAAGGGCTGATCTTCCGAGTGGAGTATGTGACTAGTGTAAGAAACTGGGCAAAAAGCATTCCAAGGATTTCTAGCCTTTACAATGCGTACCGACGCCGGACAGTGAAGGATGAGGCAGTGGTTCCTCACTCTTTCACATTTATCCGTAGAGAATGCATCTTGACAGAATTCAGCAACAAGATTTAATGCATGATACTTGCATGAATAGGATTGATTTAGATAGGGCTCGATAATCAATCAATGAGACTTGTTCAGTTTGCCCTGCACAGCGTGCATCCAGGCATACCCACATCACTCTTGGAGGGTGCCGAGGAGCGTCTGCCCAGCTGGTATGAGAAGTCACCCAGTGATTGCTTTTGCCTTGTTAAAGGATTCGTAAGTGACAACGACCTCTCTCAGCCCCCTTTGTTGGTGCTTCCTGGCTGTCACCTCCATACCTTTCTGTCAGCTTTGCAAGCAGTTGCCCTGCCAAACGCAGAATGTATCTCGCCTCCAATCTCATCTCGTTTGAAGACCTCAGACTCAGCTTAACTGAATGAATTGTCATGTGGAACTGTTTTCATCATTTAATAACTATCAGTTTATACCGAATTCCAATCCAATCAGGTATGCAGATCGCCCAATCAGAAGAACGAGCTCAACACTTGACAGATCTAGCAGAGTACTTTACAGAGCACTATCCCCAATATGGTCGGGGCGCTCACTACTTGCTTCAGCTTGCAGGGAAAATTGCTGTGAAACGGCAACCTCCCACCAAATTGCAATGGCTCTTGTCAGGGCCCGCACCAGGTGCTCAGCGAGGGCATGCCCGATTGAACGATCCTGAGCCACACAACATTCGAAGGCTCAGGGTCCAGTTTCACAGGTACTATTAACTCAAACCAGGGGTACCTACATGGAAAAAGTATGGAAAATATCAATTTGGAAGCAAGGACGTTTTGAATTGAGACTTCTTGAAACGGCATATTGTGTATGACTTATCGATGGTTCTGTCTTATGGCAAGCTTCTGAATCGGAAAGCCATTTTGTAGCCAAACAGCGGCTCCCGTTGGCCATGGTTCTTTTCGGACAAGCGAGTGAGGACGCTGACATGGATGTGAAGGACAGAACTGAAAGTCCATTCATTATTTTTGCATCTCTCTGACTTTAAGCCTTTGGACCCTGTAACAAGTGTTTCATATACATAGCACGCCATTTATGAGTCCCATAAGAATAATACTGTAGTATTATTATTACATAGTAGGTAGTAGGTATTATGTTCAGTTTGCGCAGGAAGAAGAATGTTCACCTGAGAGGGGAACTGCCAATGCTGCTAGCGAAAGCCTGAAAACAAAGCTGGTTCAGATGATGGAAGAGGCAGATCTGAGCTGACTTGTGCAACCCAGCTCCCTTATTAAGATTTATTATTCTTATGTGCATTCATCAGGTGACAGCTTCGAAAAACATGGGCAAATTCATTGCTGACAAGTACAACAAGGATGAGGGTACCCAGAATCACTTTGCAAACGTTCAAGACTCAGCGAGGTAAAAATCAAGTATTTACTCCGAGGTGATTCATACATCCCTATCAAAAAAATTCCGTGGTTCCCTTGGCACGATGAGGTGATGCTTGACTTCTTCAGTGTGCCTGAAGTGGCGCAGCGTGTGGCGTCCAAGGCGCCGCAAGGACCTCAGGTTCTGACCAATGTGCCTGTGACAACCCGCAAGAACGTGTACATACACCCATGGCATTTCGATATGAGCGAAGAGGCGAAGTTTGGCCCCGGAGGAAAGTGGCCATCGACAGTGGCTATCAGAAGTCATTTTCCCTCCATCATTCAAAGGGGATATGAAAGCGAGAGGGAGGCCATAGAGATAAAGTTTGGGCAGAACTTGCACTCGAGTGGAAAGCAGCTGCCCATGTTCAGTGTCCAGTTCATAGACGGGCATGCCAAAGCGGTGATGATTCTTGCTATCTTTGCCCTTCTGGACCACATGGTTACTTGATTCAACTCATTGTCCATAGGGCAGTTTTAGGTTTGAATCATAAGTTATATAAAAGATTAGTCTACCTGTTCTCTGCTTCTGAGGGTGTGACGCCTTCCCAGATCGCTGGTGATGATGAAATGGTTGACCTGATCGCTTCATTGAAGTACGTGCGTGTGAACTATGTTCACTTCACTTCCCCGGAGATGTGCCTGTACGAAGCCCTCAGTCTTGTCCTCAAAATCTTATGTGTTTTTGCCTCCAAAATGACCTAGTATCACTTCTTGGACTAACAACCCCTGATCCCAAGGCTTGGCCAACCGGACTAGTGAGAAACAGCGACCTGGCCCCCTTGAGCTTACACTCTTCTTTAAGGCTGATTCAGAGACTGACTTCTTCTTGATCAATAACTCTTCTATGACCATATGAGTACTGAGATTTTTCTGAGATACCAACATTCTGCCAAGTATGCGCCCCACATCATCCTGCAGGAAGCAGTGCGTGTGAAGCGCTTGGGAAGCAGGAAGTCGGCCATTCGCGATGTGTTGTTCAATGCTGTCGCAGACTACAACCGGCAATGCACAAACAAGGTAGGACATGCAGGGAGATATCAGGAGTGAACTCAGGGAGGTATCAATTGGCATATAAACAAATCGAACTGAACAGGTTATATAATAATCCGTCTCAGTATGTAAAAACCGTTCAACCTAATAAAGCCCAATTTCCATCTTGACAGGCATGGCGCATCAAGGAGGATTTGAAAAAGGTCATCTATGCAATCCTGCGATGTCCAGCTGAACTTGTGGATCTGATGAAGGAAGCAGGTGATCTTTACAAGTGGGAACATGGAGGTGCAAGCGGGACTTACAAACCATCTTCAGTTTCGTATCACTTTCACATGAATATATATATATATACATATACATATATATATATATCACAATTCATTTCAATATTTATTGATTATATATATACTTACACTAATATAGTTCTAGTCCAAACTTATCAACTTCCCCCACTTGCAAACTTATCATTTGCCCCTGCCAGCTTGGACCATGGAATCCCTAGCGGATGACTACTTTGTGCCTGGCCACTGCCTCTGTCCCCCAACTGTGCTGGATTCCTGGTGGCGATCTGCCAAGGCAGGCATGGGATTGGGTTGCAAGTTGGGGCAGGTCCCATGACATGGTATCACCCCAGGCCTAGTGCAATTACACATTCCAGATTTCTATTTTTAAGCTTAGACTAAAACATTCTTAGACATTATATACCAAGTAGTAACTAAGTAGTATCTATGACCCTGATGATGATCAACTCCTTGAAGCCAACCTTGGCAGACTGTGACATCTACTGCGACTGTGGTCTGGGCTAAGCGTGTGTATGGCGACTTCACCAAAAAAGCTCCACCCGACGTGCCAGTGAAGCAGAAGGACTGCAGGGGCTAATCGTTTTTAATCCCTTTCAAGTTCATATTCCATGGGAACAAGTTTTAGAATAAGGGTCAACAAATAAAACAATAACATCATGTGAATGACCACTGACAATGTGCCATGTAGCCATGTTTTGAACTAGCTATTTTCCTGTTGGCTTGCAACTCCCACAAAAAGCAACACAAATGAAAGAGTGCCAAGCAAGAACTCGGGGAAGAAGGGGGTTCCTTTCTGCATGTTTAAGCTTTTTTGGGAGTGGCAAACCAACAGGAAAAATTACAATGTTTGAACCGTGAATCACCCTGAGAAATTGGCCCAGCGTGATGCAGCTGCGATGCGGGATCTCATGGAGGTGTGCTGCTTGTGGGTGGCCATCTACGAGCCAATCAGGCTTCATGTTGGTGAAGGTGCTGGCTTTGACAAGTTGGAAGAGATGTTCTATGATGGGACTCTTGCTTTGAACAAAACCATGTACAATTTCCCGCCCAAAAAAACAAAACCATGTAAAGTTTCCCGCCCCAAAAAACAAAACCATGTATAATTTGGGATCTTCAGCCAAGAGCAAATTACACATGGAATTTTAAATTCCGCTGTATTTTTCAATTGAAAAAAATAATCGTGTACTGGGGTGGTATAAAGCTAAGACCCAAGATTGTACACTGTACCTTCATTTTGATGGTATTTTGCTGTGAAATTTAAAAAACGATGTATTTTTGAGGCATTCTTGCAACATGGGATTTGTACACTGTTTCCAAGATAAAACCGTGTATGCAGGTTGGCTTTGCGTACGTGGTTTTTTAAAAACCGCGGTACTAGATCCCGCCCAAAAAAGCAAAACCGGATATGAAATCCCGCCCATCCACCTAAAACCGGATATGAAATCCCGCCCGTCCACCTAAAACCGGATATGAAATCCCGCCCGTCCACCTAAAACCGGATATGAAATCCCGTCCCGCCACCCAAAACCGAACATGGCCTCCAGGACTTTGGATGGAGAACTTCGAGCCCATTGCAAGACCTCGGATCCCAGTTGGGACTGGCAAAAACTGTCCTTTGTCTTGGAACTGAAGGGGGCTGTCCAGGATGAAGAGGTTTTGCGAGCTCAGTCCAAAATCAATTCAGCTCTTCAATCGTCGCTTCAAGCTGGGTTCTCCTTGTTCGAAACCAATTTGAGCAATGATCAAATCCAGCACCGGAGATACTTGCTCACATCAAGTGGTGATGAAGCAAAAGCCCGTGCAGCAGTGGTTACAAGCTTGGAGGCAAAGTTTAAGACAAAACTGATCACTGTAAAGGGGATTTCCTGGATCTCATGAAATGATATTATATAATTTTATTTTGATCTCAACATAAGCTAAGAACTAAATTAAATTTGCTATATTTTATTCAACCTTGTCTGGATCTTGGCCATCCCTGTCCAGAAGATGCACAACGTCGCATGGAAGTTGGTGAACCAGACCATCACTGACATATGCCCTACTTGGTGCGCAGCAGTGCAGAACAGGAAGCTTTCAACTGCCAGCCACTCAAATTATGTTCATATACTATTAATTGTTCTCATTAACAGATAAAATTTAACTATTGTGCGATCAAACAAATTTGACATTTCAATAAAATATCCCACCCTTATCTTTTCAAGTGGTAATCCCAGGAACATGCCTGAAACCAAAAGCCAATAGTGACAATAATGGGTCTTCCCCCTTTCCACTGCTTAGGTCCAGATGCGACTACAGATACTTCTGGAGTCATGGAAGCGAGGCTCCAACCGTGGCTGGGCGAATCCCTTCAAGGCCTGAATGGGGGAGTCCGGCGAATCGAGAATGAGTGCATCGTGGGATTTTGCAATTTGACCACTCAAGGAGTCTTGCCGGTTGACAAGCTGCACTTTGCCTTGCAACAAATCACCACACTGGCCCATTCCCACCCCAAGACTTTCATTGCCCTCGTGATCCTTCCGAACAGAGCTGGGGATCTTCGATCGTCTCCATGCAAGTCAGGAACCTACCTTTTTAAAAAGAAACATTTTTGCCCAGGAACTGTTTGTTTGAAACCCTCTCTAAAAGTCATTGCTTGAAACTTAGATGATTCTGCACAGGTCTGAGGTCAAAGCGGAGGGCAGTGATGATGAGGCTGCTGGAGGCATGTTGCAACTCCTGTTGCCAACTATTGGTGGGACATAAACTGGGTATAATCTAAATAGCAACTGGGTAAAATCAATAACTTAACTTGGCATCCAACAGATACATATATAATATTATATATATATGTACGGGATCCAACAGAACACACCTTTTCAGAAATCCTCAGCTTCTTATGGGTTTTGGTCAGCCATGAGAAGGACCCGACGATGTGGAGGAGCCTGGAGATGAGGATGACGAAGACATGGATGGGGGCAAGAGCGCGACCTCTGAAACCATCTTGCGTGACTTCAACTACAAGCTTCGCTGCATGTTCATGGCGCGAAACCGAAATCTTCGAGTGACTGGGGCCCAATGCTCAACTCTTTCTAATAAATAACTTAGAAGATTATATACCCCCGGTTTGGAAAATAAGCCGTTATGTTTGATTTGAATAACAAAAAACTAAGGTGAAGCAAGCAATGGTGACTTTCGAGCCGTCTTCTATCTACGGGAGTCGCTTGGGGTTTCAGGAAGTGGTGCTGGTGACTGCCAATGACCCAAAGAATATCGCCGACAAGTCTTCGCTCTGGAAGCAGGGATTGGCAGTTGGAGTATCCATGCTGCCCAGACAGGATATGGTGAAACCATGCAAGTCTGAAGGGAAATGGGGTTCGGACTCCAGATTCACCAAGGTGCAGGAAATGAAGCAGGACTGGGGGAGCCTAAAAATAAAACTGTCTGTCTGCAATGTTTGAAAATGTTTCAATTACTATGTCTTTGCCAAGGGTTCCGTTCAAGTGGTTCTTAATATCACTAGTCCTTGCTCGCAGTACTGTGGTTGCACGTCCTTCATCACCAAGCTTTTGGATTCTGTGATCCCCAGTTCAGAAACACCGGCAGTTCTTCTGGACTTGTTTGGCTTCGATGGATGGCCAGGGAGCGTTGCTGTGTCACAAGCAGCCAGGGGAATCTTAGTTATATTATGTTATATTCATTGTCTATTTTCATTGCCTATTTTTATTTTCCTGTTTCTTTGTCCCAAGTAAGAGTCACAAACATTGGAAGGGCACAAGTAATACTGCAGGAAGATCTAAGATTCAAATTAAATGTCAAGAACGCAGGAAAGAAGATTGCTTGCGCTACCATTTGCCACAGCAAAGGCGAAGCGAACTATGTATCTTCCACCTTGGCCACCAAACTCTTCTCCATGGCGCGCGCTGGTGAATTTCAGATACCTGCTTTTCCTGATTTTGACTCTGCACTCAATGAGCTGAAACAATTTCAGAGGTCACCCCAGCCAGACTACCAAGTTTGTGTGGCTACTGCTGATGGGGCTTTGGTGGTGAAGCAAACTTTGGTGGACTTTTGGACGGTGAAGCACACGTCCTTTGCTGACCAGATGCAGAAGCTCCTGCAGGTCCACGACGATGAGTTCAACACCAGAAAGTTGAAGCGTGGGGCAGAGGAGACAGAGGATGCGCCAGAGGAAGAGCGGCCTACTAAGCGCCTTTGCCCGGGAACAAGCTCAAGCATGGAAGAGTTGGAGACCAACCACCCTGACAGGACATTGACATCTAACATCAAAGACTTTTCAATGTTGTTTGAACATTTCAGTTTTTATCAGTGGTCTCCTTCAATTAGAATCAGGACATCCTTGAACGCTGGATCCTTCGTCCTCTACCTGAGCGACAAAGATGCTTCCTTGTGGATTGGCTGCTCTGCGGCCGTTACTGTGGAGGCCAACACTGAGCTCTGGGGGTTTGGGTCTGGAGATTTCGCCAAAGGAAGTGAAGGTGCCGACATGATGTCCGACACCTCGGCTGAAGGTCGCTGGTTGCTCTATGGGTTGCAATCTAGCGATGAGCTCGTGATTCTGGAGAAACAGCGGAAAACACCAGAACATCTCGAAAGCGCGGGCTTCTTCAACAAGGCCGACTTATGTTATATTGTCTCATAACGTCTCATATCTTGTCAAAAGATTTTACAGCAGGAATCAATTTGAAACAAGTGAATCCATGAGCAGGGGATTTTGCATACTTGTTGTTAAACTAAAATCTTCCTTTTGCTGTGTCTCATTGCCTGTCAGGTCATCAGCTTGAATGACCTCCTCAAGAGCTTGGAGGACAGTGGTGAAGTGAATCTCCAGGTTGCGGAGCACAAGTTGGAGAAAGATGGGGCAGGGAACTTCAAAATCGAACCTCTTGGCGGTGTTTGCTTCATCCTCGATCCGTTGAAACCCAAGAAGAAAAAGGCTAAGGTGGGTTCCTGAAATCCTAGGATTCTCCCAATTTTTATTTCACACTTCTTGGTGATCTGGCCATTGGTGTTTCTGAATCCTTTCTTCGCTTCTTCTCTTCTGGTCCTGCTCTTACAGGTTGGTTTTGGGAATCCTTAATTATTGTTAGACTATGGCAATAATTATTAAAGGGCATAATCGATCGGCTTGATCATAATAACAACTAAGAATGATTCCCAAAACCAACTTATAATATTTTATTAATAATTATTAAGACAAAATGCCAGAACCAACTGAAATTGATCTTCAGACTTCTGCTTGCTGCCCTTCAGGCTGCAAGCGCCTTGACTTTCGGTGCCAAAATGGACCTTTCCAAGATTCGCGTTTCGACCAGCATTAAGATCTTGTGGCGCTTAAGGCCTTGCTTTTGATGTGCATTGTCTTTACTCAGGAACACAAGATCATCTTTGTTAGTTGTCACCTACAGCCTCGGATCCCACCATAACGCACCTAACCAAATAAATTACTATTTAGCAAAAAAATGCCTATAATCTTACAACCCCATTCAGTTGCTGATGGAATCCCAGAAAAGATTGAATCCCCCACTGTATCATACCCACTGGATGCAGCCCTGTCGTCCTGCATGCAGGCTCCACATCGATGCAAACGCCTCGGATCCATGCACCCAGCTGGTTCCGGTGAGGCCGTGCGCTGTGACTGCTGGGAGTGTTTCTCTGAAACCTGAGGAGCTCCTGAAACTTTTGTAAGATGATGCCAGAACCATAGGGGAATCTGTTTGTGCACAGGGCAAGATGTCCTAACCTCTCAAAGGGGTGAAAGGTCATACCATGACATGGCCATGTCAGTGGAAGATCTGCTAAGTCTATTGCGAGCATAGTTTCATATTAGTGCCAAGGAACTACAAACCAGGCCGAATTATTATCAAATATTATCATCATACTAAGACTAACTTATTATTATCAGATCATCATACTAAGTTCTGTTCTGTTTAGGTTTGATCATGGTGCCGATCTTTGGTTATCTGATTGCAAGTGCAACAAGAGCTGAGAGGACTAGGCTACAAGAACCTTGTTGCCAAACACCTGTGAAAGCAGGATCAGTGGTGCGCCTGCCACTGTTGACGAGAGTTGAAAAGTGTTGGAACATGTTGAACCAGTTTGAACATGTCGAAACGACTAGCCTGAGGTCCAATCATCCAGATTCGAAGTTTTCCCATACAACGCAGTGATATACATTAGGGTCTGCGACCAAACCAGTAACTCAATGACTGTGATGTGACCAAATCAGTTTGAAATAAGAAACACATTGTATGATGTAATGTATCTACGTGATCTCAAGGTGACCCGGTCTTGGCGCTCGCACATAGCTGCACTGCAATGGCTCCGCCTGACACAGGGGGGGCAGGAAATATCTTGTCCTCCCCTAGCTTTTCCATGGCTGACTACTCTATGCTCTTGGAGGCAGCAGCACCAGCACCGAAAGCAGCGCCCAAAGCAGCAGCAAGTAGAGCACCTATTCCTGCTTCGACTGCCAGCTCAGGACTTAGGAGCTTATGTTGCAGAGAAACACAAGGGTCCTCATTTTTGAATTTCTGATCCATCCTTGAAACCACAACCTTGCATCTTGACTTGATAGTAATAGGTGGACATGGAACATGGCCCTTCTTAGTTTTATCGGGTTCCTTTACCACCTTGAAGCCTCAAACTTCCTTCTTGACTTGATAGATCTCAAACAGTAACCTTCTGCCATTCAGCATGCCATCGCATTGGCAGGATTGCTACAACGTTGCGAAGTTGAAGGTTCCGAAAGTGTTTCAGCAGAGCCCTCAGAAGAGGTAGAGATTACCAAACGCCCAGCTACCAAGACGAAAGCTAGCTTGAAGAAGAAAGAAGAAGACGCAGACATTACTGCTCTTGGGGTCTGCAAAGGGAATGATGAAGATGAAGGAGACAATGATGAAGGTAGTCTTGGGGCAGACTGTGATGAGGATGGCCCCAAGAAACGTCCTAGCAGTAGGAAAACCAAACATACCAGTGACAAGAAAGACAAGAAGGAAAAGAAAGAAAAGAAGCACAAGAAATCCAAGACTGGAAAGAGACGGAATGGCAATGAATCAAGTCTGAGTTCTGAAACTGATGAGCCTGAAGACCACAAGAGCCACCGAATCAGAGTCAGCCGGGAGTGTTTGGACAGAGCATTCCAGAATGCTGCCCTCGCTGAACAAAGAGCTTCTATGAAAGAGGCAGGGGTGCCATACACAGACATGGAGATTGAAAAAAAATCCTACAACACACAGCTTATTTCGAAACTCACAACTTACTTTTAGATTCCCAGCAGCATGGAGGACGAGGACTACAAGGAGGACAATGCCATGAAGGCCGACAAGACAGCCGCTCCCTCTAAGGACTCTTCCAGGGTCTCTGCTTGATAATATGGGGATTTTACATACAGGGTCTATCCTGACTAAGCAATGCCTGTATTTGATTTCGCCCCTGTTGCCCTTACATGCCCTTACAGTGTTTGTCAATCTCTTGACAGCTACGGCACTGCTTTGGCAGGACATGCCAATGGCTGACTCACCTTTTGCGCGCAACGACGACCCGTCGACCGAGAAGATGAAGGACCACTTGGGGGTTATTGTCTGACATTCGATCATGGAATGTCTTCTCCCTATCTCACTCTTCATGGCTGAGTTGACTCCAAAGGGATAGGCGTGTCTTAGAACTTGGGTATGTAAATCTTGAGACTAAAAACTGATTCATTCGTGGTTTTTGGCTGCCTTACCATTTCATGTTTGCAGGGTTTTGGCTTGGAGGCCTAGGTGAAAAAAAACCTTTTGTAGCAACTATGCCATGGCATTGGGTGCTAGCCTTTGTGCCTGAGCGTCCTTGCTTTGGCAGCCCACTGCCCAGCAACCAGCAAGGCCACAATGAGCTCTCGCGGGATTCGCAGAATCAGGAGATCCAGCAAACGCAGCGGGTGATGGAGTCCCGACCCAAGACTGCCCCGGCAAACCTACCAACTATGTCACAGGCAGTGGGCCAACCTGCGCAGGCCCACATGCAAGAACCTTTTCCTCAAGAGGTTGCGCCTGTGGCTTCTGAGGTTGGACCTACTACTGGTGTGAAGGGTGAAGTGACGCCTGGACCTGTAGAGCCTTGTCCTGTGCAGCCCGGACTGGAGCATGGACCTGTGCAACCTAGACCTGTGCAACCTGGACCTGTGCATCAAGCACCTGTGCAGCCTGGTGTGTTTTCTTCAAAGGCTGATGGCACTGCTCCAACCTTGGAACCACGGGTCGTTCCAGCCATCTTCCCCCCAATCAGAGCACCAGCGGCGATGTTCACCAATGCAGGCACAGCAAATGTCTTGGAGCCAAAGCCTCCTAGTTACCCACCACCTCGAGAGTTTGAGCCCAACCCTGAGCCTGAGAACGAGGTTGTGACAGTAGATGATGATGATGATGATGATGACAACCCCACAAAAAAAGTCCCAGCAGAGATCTACTCATGGTCAACAAGAGGCCTTGGGATGAAACGCAAAGCTGAGGAGGAAGCAGCTGCGGCGGCAGCACATCTGATGCCAACGCCGGACGCAGTCCATGCAACTCGGCACCCAAATCATGACAATGACAATGGTGATGATGACGATGATGATGATTCAACTTGGGGTAGATGGGAGTCATCAAGTTGGGAAGAAGGAGAAAAGTATTGGTCCAACAGTGGACGCGATGGTTGGCGCTCAGGTTGGTGGAAGTCATCATCATGGAAACGGGGCAGCTGGTGAAACTATGATGCGTGCCCAGACCATAGAGATTGAAGCAATCTTTTTGAGGGTCCGGGTGGACAGTGCTATCTGCAGCACCCCCCAAAAAAAACAAAATCTCTCTAACGCCTAGTGGGATTGCCCAATGTCCATGGAAATCTCAAAACATGATGTCTTGTGCTGCAGAATGGCCTTCAGAGACCGCCCTGCCTGACTGAAGACAGCGCAGAAGTCAAAAAAGAAAGCAGCGCCGTCACCTGCACAAATCTCTGTGTGTCCCTCATTCTATCTCCTGCTCAGACCCACTTTATATCTAGTACTGGTTCTTGCTTGATACTCCCCAATCTTAGTCTGCGTTATAATCTTGATACTCCCCACATGCAGGATTGATCACATCAATTGGTAGCTTATTCTTGAATCCTCCAGGACTTTGGGGCTGATGCCATGGAGATGCCATCTCTTGACGAGGACCATCACCACATTGATCAAGTAATTTGACACAACATGTACCCATGAAGTGACATGACATGCTCGGAATGATACCAATATAATATGAAAGCGTTCAATTCTGGTATATTGGCACTCAACCAAATCAGAATGCTGGCAGGACTTCCAACCTGGTGGTCGCTATGTTTTTGAACCCATTGTCTGCAGAGAGACCGAAGATGCCGATATCTACATTTGGATGAATGGGGATCAGGTGGAAGTGCCTCCTGGTGACATTGTCACTCGTGAGGACTGTTGAAATTGAACATTGTTTTATTATCACTCCAAGAATGTCACTTCAAGAATGTGGTTCCAAGCTTCAAGAAACCCCGTGGTTGTTTTTCAAGTTGTCAATTCCCATGTTGCAGGAACTGGAACAGCTGCGTCGCAAGACTTGCAAGTCCCTGGAGAGCCTTGAGATCTCAGATCCAGCGCAGAGAGTCGACATGTTTGACCTTGTGCGTGCCAAGAGCAGCGAACCTTTGATGAGAAATCGTTTGGGTTCGTCTATTTCCAACAAAATTGCCAATCTATGGCACTACCATGCTGTATCAATTTGAAAAAACTATGATTGTAAGCTGCCCTGTGCCTCCTCTGTCCAAGAATAAAAATCTGCTTATAAGGCTGAACACATTGACATTTATATAGATCTGTTTATTATTATTATTATTATGTTGTAACACTATGATATACCGCAATGAGAATTAGTAATTGTCTTCTTCATCTCTCCCATATTTCCTCTCTTCACAGCCTACTACCAGCTTGAACTAGCTAAAGATCCCATGGTCAGTTAGCATTTAGCAATCATTATATGTCCTAATACACCTGTATCAGGATGCAATCTTCATCGCAGCATCGCCTTCTTCGCCTCTTGCTACTGATGCTGGTGATGCATCTCAGGACTGCCCTTTAGAGGTGAATACGCGAAACCAACATTCAACAATCAAATCCATTCGCTTCTGCAGCCATCAGGATGCAGCCTTTGTGAATCCACCTGTGGAGGATGCCCCAAAGCCCCTGACCTCATTTTAGTTTGGCTTGATTTTTTTGGCACGGTACCTTGAACTCCGTCCTTCCTCTTCCTCAGCTAAGGCCACCAAAAGCATGCCAGCCAAAGGCAAAGTGCGCTGCAAAAGCGAAGGCGAAGAGCTGTGTGACAGGTCAGGCAAAGAAGAAGGCTGAGAAGGCCACAAAGAAAGCAGGGGCTACAGCTAAGGCAAAGGCACAGAGTGTTGCAAAGAAGCCTAAGGGGGTGAACCTAAGGCAAAGTGCGCTGCCAAGACAGCTGAGGCAAAGCGCACAGCAAAAACCAAGGCGAAGAGCAAAGCCAAGAACACCAAGAAGAGGGAGCTGAAGATGGACACAAACAATGTGTATAGCCGCAAGTACCATGAATGTAAAAGAGCAGGATGCAGTAAAGAGAAGGCTAGGCCTGTGACATTGATACAGTGACAGTCAGATTGAATTGGTATTTCCCACATGGCGATTCCTTTTCAGATATTATTTTGCTTTACACCCATTATATGTTTCTTTGCATCAGGCAGCTTCGCTGGCTCGTGAAGCTGTGCACAAGATGGTGCAATCGGATGGCCCTGCTGCGCCCACTGAGTCTGTGTAAGACCTCTGAGTTTCCAGCGGACAACGCAGTACGCCAGGGGAATGGCGTTTGAGATGTTAAAAAAAAGCTTGCGGATGCTCCCAGGAAGGTCCAATCAGATCTAACTTGACATGTGGGACATTAATTTCAGATTTGAACATGTTTGAACCAGTAGATTTGTTTGAAATATATTATGTCATTTAGTAATTATTGAAAAAATCTCCTGGTTCAAACATGTTCAAACCCAATAATTCAACAATCTGAAATATTCTTTGTTTAAACCCAATCTACTGGCCCTCTCAACATCATCTTGATAGCTGGCAAAGAACCCACAGAGGCAGATTTACCACCTCAACTCTGAGTTCTGAGTTCCACTTGCCAATTGGAAGAGTTACAGTTGGCTTGGGTTATCCTTCAAATCAAAGTCTTAATCCGCTGCTGCCGTGACAATGAAACTACCCAAATCCCTAATGTCTTCTCTTAACAATATAGACTCTATTGATCTCTATTGTAATCATCCATGATCATCTCTCAGTTCCCGTCGGCCATGACACCTGGTCTTTGTGAGTCCCGACCAACAGGATAGGTGCACCCTTCGCATGCAAGGCCAAACTGTTCAACCAGTATCGAATCATCTCCACAGCCCTCTGCGGATCCTTCATCATGTGGGGCATCTTAAAGACCACCAGGTACACCGAGTAGCGGGACAGGAACAAATGATGCAGGTTGTGGAACACCGATTGACCACCAAAATCCCAGGTGGAAAATGTGATCCTGCAGATCTTGGAGGCTTGGGGGAGCCATGAAAAAAACATAAAAAAACATCACATCCCAGAGATTCCCATAGATTTCCCATGTCTTGCTGTGGATTGACCAAGTGGAAAATACAAGAAATCATCGTCAAACCGCAGATCCAGGCATTTAAGCCAAACAAAACATACTATCCAAACAATATATTGATATGCAATGATATGCATAATTATGCATATATATATATATACAATTGACCTGTTTATCCTACTTACATCCCAATCACCAACCAAATTTCCCAAAGATTCCCCAGCTGATTTGCCATGGAAAATTCCCCAGATTTTTCCCATTTCCACCCTGGGTGGGTTCACCATGGATTCACCAAAAACAGGTCTTCCAGGTCTGCCAGGTTTCGAATGCCCGGTGCTCTGAGACGTCATCTGCTGTTCCAATCTGGTGGCCACCTCCTCGATGGGGAGTCGACCCGCCAGGGCCACAGAGGATGCGCTTCGTTTTCGTTGCCTCAGGAACGACATGACTGTTCTGGTGAAAGTTTCTGCTATAAAGGTTATTGGATGGTATTATATAGATGGCATTACACAAATGGTATTGGCAGTGGCAGTTTGGGTGACTTTTCTTTACCCTTTCTTTCTCTCCATTGCGATCCATTTGAGACATCCACACACACACAGCTACCCCCTCCCCACAAGACGTATGTTTGATACACTTTGCTATGATGAGTACTGCAGGAAACCATTCTCTTTCAGGAGAGTGCTGCGTTGGACAATTTTACTCTCAAGTAGCACTGTCCTTTTTCCAAGGTGGCACCATTTTCGAACTTTAAAGTGATGATACTCGGCCTGAAGGAATACTGCACAATTGTCAAGAAGTGTTTCACTCCTTTGAAGGGTATTGCCTACCCTGTTAGCGCTACATCCTCTTAAAAAAAACATACTAGCCGTGTAAACAATCGAACAAATACACTTTTGTACGATAGACTATACGATTCTAAAAGGGTAATGCATACATTGAACAAAATTATATTGTGGTAGTGCTGCGCTTTCCAGAGGAATGTTCCACCATGTTTCTGTCCTTTCCCAAGGAATACTACACGCTTGAAAGGCTCTTTCAAAGTAATACAGCATCTAATAAAGGATGCTAGTGTAAACACAACGTTAATTACATTTTCTCAAGCAAGCAAGTATTGCACTATTTTCCATAAATTAATGGTGCACTCTTCTTCATGGAATATTGCAAAAAGCAACGCTACATTTTTGCACTTGTTTCAGACTACATCACTATTTCAAAGAGTACTGAATCCATTCAGGGACTTATTGTAAGCTAAGACTTTTTCTAACAACGGCTGCATCTATTAAAGCATTCTATTACAGAGCAATGTTGCATTTTCTGGATGAACGCGCCAACATTTTCAAGGAAGTGTCATTCTTTTCGATGAAACGTTGCATAAGGTATTGCTACAATACAACTCCGCATGCTGCACAAACTACAAGAAGTTGATGAACAAGCTAGTGCTGTGCCCTTGTAAAGGGACCTCTGGCATGTTCCATTTGCCAGGGAATACTGCAAAGTACTACTGCATCCATTGAACCACGCTAGATCGAAACAATGTCAGATTTTCTCAGAGAAATATTCCAATATTTCCATACATGTGCCACTGATCTTAGATAAATATTGCAACAAGTGATGCTACGCTACTAGACTTGATTAAGAACACATTGATATTTCAAAATGATACTGGATCCGTTGAAGGGCTTTCATTGAAGGTAAGACTCTTTTGAAGTACTATTGCATCTGTTGAAGAATTCTATTGCAATTAAAAAGTACATCTTATCAAAGGAATGTCCGACCATTTTATGCAATATGTTTAATACTCTTTCAAAAGAGTACCGCATCCATTCAAGGTCTTTCATTGAAGATAAGACTCTTTCAAAGCACTGCAGCATCAGTTTTCGCATATTCTCGTTTTTTTTTGAGGCCTGAACCTGAACGACTAAAAACTGAAGCTTTCAGAGATCTTGGGCCTGGAGTTTATGGCAAGATGCTCTTCCACTCTTTTGGCGTCCTCAGGTAGACGCCGGCTCCCGCTTCGTTCAGGTTTCCTCGGCACGTTTCGGAAAGAAGGAGCGGTCCAAACTGTCCCAAGTGCTGGTGTTTTTTTTGGGTATTATAAAGGTCAAGAGATGATATCATATTATTAGATGATTCTATTAGACGGTATTCTGAGAAGGTATTGGCAGTTTGGGTTACTTTTCTTTAATCGTGTTAACCTCTCTCTTGCTCTCTCTCCATCATAACTTGTCAAGACTGCTGGCGGCACCTACTTGTTCCATTTTGTATGGTGTCAGTATGCTGCTAACATGTCTAAACTTCTAAAATGCGTTAACATAGTCATAATCGGGCAAGTGATCTACCGGTTGGTGGTTAAAAAACGATTTTCAACCTATCCCAAGTAATTGCAGTAGACAATTTGGATCATCCCAATCGCCAAGCTGCGGAACCTCCTCCGCTGCCTTCGCAGCTTTGTCCTCCGCCGGCGGAGCCCGGTCGGGGCGATGCAGCAGCTGCTTCAACAGCCCCTCGGTCTCGCTGCTGTGGCCCTCTGTCTCGTGCCAATTCACCGCATCGCCTGGCGTCGCGGAAGGGGGATCGTCTCCGGGTTAACGGTATGGGGAACTTTGAAAAACCGGCTCAGAAAAAAAATGGATATGGATGGACAGGGCTATAATGACATATAGGTCACTGTGGTCACATTCGTAGTCCGAAACATGAGAAACATGGATAAACTATTGGATGTTGAGGTGTCCCAACATTTTGAGACAAACTCATATGGACTGGGAAGGTGGGTTGATTGATGGTGACTAGGTGATTAGTTGGCTTGGGGATGATGTTGACCTTCCAGCAAGCTGCTCCCCAAACAAGTTTCAACTGGGTATGTCATGTATCTCTATGTCTACCGCAAACAAAAGAAACCATAAAACTATTAAACCGCACAACATCACCCAGAAAATGACTCTATGTTCAACCCAAAAACTAGATTCTAAATCATGGGTTTCCATTCATGTTGGGTTAAATCAACATACATGTTAAACAATCAACCATGCATCGATCATTTTCCCAGGAATACCATGGGTCTTCCTCATCTATGTTACTTTGCCCAAGGAAAACATCAGATTTGCCCAAGGTCCCATGGTCCCTCCATGGTCCCTCCCCCTCCATGGCTAAACCGAGGTGCTGCGGTGAATCTCGCAGCTACTGGTTTCTACTCCCAGGGTGGAGTTCCTTGGCTGTTTCGAAGCATTGGAAATCTAGGGCAATCTGGCTGGAAACCGATGGCAATCTATGGAACCCGAACTTGAAAATCACCTTGTTTTTTTTTGAAATAAAATACTTGTCCGAAATCTCAGCTACATCCCAGCTAATCCAACATGCACTGTTGATCGTCTCATAAGTCCCCGGCTTCGTGTTGGAACGCATTGGACATGTTCGTTTTGGGATCACAAATAATCCCTTCTCCCTGTATGTATCATCTTAAACATCCCCTAGAAACACTTGCTTAGTAGGGGATGAAACCACACTGGGACCACACAGTGAGGTAATATGGACGGGGGATGGGAGTAGTCGGATTTACTGTGCTGCTTCATTATGGTGATAGGCTGTATATATATATAACTACGTATATATGTATATAATATATACGTGTATATCTACATATGTACACACACATAATATATAGACAATATGCGCTGTTTTTCTGAATCTATATTTGTTTATTATATATCTATATCTTCATTTTTTAGATGATATCAATATGTGTTGATATATTTTTTCCATCAATATCTTGGGTTTATTGGTGATGGGATGTAATATCTCTATATGTGATCAATATCTATTTCTATATCGATATCGATCTATCTATCTATCCATCCATCCATCCATCTAGAAATATATATCTGTACAATTATATAATTGTAAATCTATGTCATGTAATTAGCGATCACGTGCCATATCTTCACCTCTTCACCGGCCTCTGAACGATATCTCTCCAAGTTTCTGCGCCTCATCGAAGGGTTTCCCCACCAAGGATCGCACTGTAGAGGTTTTGCCAGCTCGCCCTTGGCCCAGCAACACCAACCGCCCACGCCGCCATGGCAAGCTTTCATCCACGGCCTCATCGTCGACATGGCTGAGAAATCACGGCCTATAAAAGTGGGAAGGTCATGGGAAATATCTAGGAAACATATGGGAATTCCTTGATACGTGGATGTTTTTATGGAAAATCATCATTTATAGATGATTTACAGATGATTTTCCCAGCTACAAAATGGTGATTTTCCAGTGCGCTATGTTAAATTACCAGAGGGGACCCAGTCATAATCAAACATGGCTGGAAAATCCGCTGTATATCGAGGTGTTTTTTGTGGTTACACCGGAGGGTAAACCAATGAATCCGGGAAAGAACGGTAGAGGTACAGACAGTAATACCTGGTGATGCCTCGTGCATGTGGGTCTTGTTCAGTGACATTGGTGCATTTTTTCCAATTCGTATCTTAATATCATTTTATATCCAACATATCCAACATATCCAACATGTCCAACATATCCTCTGTTGTCAAAACCTAGGTTTGACCCGCCTACCCACAGCTGGTTTTTGGATTGGTAAGCCACTAGTGTTGGTCACTTGGTATCTCATTTCAGCCTGTCACATTTCCACCACCAGTTTCCACCAGTTGTTTCTTCAATTCTTCGTTTTTACAAGATGAAACTCATTCCATCATTTCTGCCAATCGTTGTTTCCCTTTCTTTTAAATCTTCAAAAAACATCAACATCATATCTATGGAAAATTGGCCCTGGTTTGCCTATTAAGCACGGTGAACTTTCAAAGCAAACTGTTGAATTGCCATTCAGGTGAAATTATTCAGAGAGCTTTCATTTCATTTGATATCATCAAAATTGCAGATGCACTCCTTTTCGATGGTTGATGGCTATGGAACCTCACCATTCTTTTTCAAAAACATCGAACTAAATGGACCATGGCTTCCAAAGCGAACTGCTTGGATTCGCTTGAGGAACCGCCCCAAACAACAACTATTCCGTATAGATTCCCATGTCTGGTGGACCTACCAAAATGCCAAAAAATTTCAAAAAATCAGCTCCGCAAATCCAATGTTTTTGTTAAGCGCTAGCCCAGCTCAGCATTCTCGTAATATCAATCATTCTCCATCATTACTATCCATTCTCATCACCAGTAAGGGTAATAAAAACCAATTATTCATGGATAGTCATGATAGTTAGCAACTATTATCCATTCTCATCACCATTATCAATAGTGCTAATCATTATTGACAGTTGCTAACTATTGTTAACCATTAGATACAATTAGAAGTGAAGCATAATGAGTAGTAATAACCATGAATAATAAAAATAGTCACTACTAGTATAAACCATTACCCACCACTATACTCCATTAACACTTGGGAAATAGTTGGATAATCCATCACTAGTTGTGGACAGTAGTTAGTGAATCCATAACGGGTGAAAGAATTGGTAATGAGTTATGATGATCTTACCCAATAACATTGTGGCTGAACAAAATCCTGCACCAGTTGGTAAACAGTGGTAACTATGAAACACTGGGACAAGTTACGGGACAACAAGAACGGGGCGTTAACCATCTACCAACTGGTGCAGGGTTTCGCGACAGTATCTATCATGACTATCCATGAATAATTGGTTTTTTTACCCATTGATCGTTATAATCCTATCAATGAGTAGTAGGATAACAAAGGATTTCTCTCTCCTTGGATTCATCCTATTAGTCTATGATTAATGTTAATACTTATTGACTGTTAATTATTACCAGTAATGTGGAAAACCCACTGCCATAAACCATCCCCAGTATCACCATTTTTATGGGTGGTACGGTGGTATACACCATTCCCAAATGTGATAGCTTTATCGCATTGGGTTTCCCACATGAATAGTATGATTGTCTATGATTATCTATGATTTTCCTGACCATCTATGATAATTCTCAACCATCTAGTCTTACCAGTATCTATCATCAAGGTATCTTCTTTAAGCATCCAAGGAACCAAGGCATCCTCCAACGCTGATCGAGCTAAGAAGTGCGCCAGAGATGTTCCAGCTGGTTCTGGAGGCGCAGCTTCCGTGGTCTCCTGAGGCGAGACATTTCTGTGGGATATTCTTGGGAGATCAATGGGATAGTTTTGGTATAGATTTTGGAAGATTTTGATGGGTTTTGAAAGGGATATAAATAATTGTGATAAAATGTGATAGCCCATCTCCATGTTCTTCAGAAACAGGTGATTTTAAAACTTGATAAACCATCTCTGATGGAATTCTGCTTGGGTTTACCATGTTTTACCACGCTAGGCTTGAAGACCCTTTTACAAAACCTACCAAAACTGCCATCTGTCTTGAAGTCTAAGTGGTCCATTTTTTTTGGTCGCGCCGTGGCCATGATTTGGCCAACTCAGCCTTCCAGGCCTAGTTTTGGGGTCTCTATGAAGTCCAGGCTCCATGTCAATGGCATTGACCACAATCTCCTCCTCTTGTGCTTGTAGAGATTCTTCTCCTGCTCCCTGTGTCTTCAAGCCCTGGTTCAGCTGATCTTCGCCGGAAAACAGATCAGAAACAATCGTTGGCGAAGCAAGAAACAACAAGGAGCTGAGATCCCATGAGCAATGTGGGTGTTGCATACCATATTTCTACCACTTGGCTCAACCCCGTGAAAAACCAAGTCAATTGAAGACAGTCCAACTTAAAACCATCAAACAAGCCAACTGGATCCAATTGATACTGCTCAGTGAGCTTTTCTATCTCTATGCCATCTAATATTCAAACACGGCAATAGGAAATCTTCTATTGCACACAAAATTTCACTATCATAATATCACACACTATCATTCATTTTGTAGATGTTTTTCCCAAGAAAAATCCATAAACATTCCATAAACCTAGGAAAATCTCCCAGTCGGTAGATTGCCGAAGGCAGCTGCGACCTTCCGCGGCTCGGCAGAGGCGCCACGCTCGGAGGGCTCCGCCCAATCCTGGTCTGAAAGGGCATGGCATCACAACATTACTCTGAGGCATTTTTGGCTGAAAATAACGCGTGGGTTCCCTTGTTTACAAGGGTTATGAGCCCAAAACACGGTGCCGCATAGCGCAATGGATAGGGCACGTTCAGTTCCGGTGGCATCCAATCCTTTTTACTCTGACAGGGTTAGGACTCAGTGCTTACTGGAATCTACAAGGCCTCGAGATTTGCCTACTGGTTTGGATGATAGTGGTATGGACCCATTGCAGGGTAGCCTTTCAGGTGTGGCAGAGCAGTCTTTTCAGGAGTTGCCAGGTCAATCTGGTAAGGGCCGTGGTGGCAGTTCGGCAGGTGAGGTCGCGCTGTCTGGATCGGTTGAGCGGCTTGGCAGAGAACTGAAGACTGAGGGAACCATGCCGACGGGTGATTCTGGAATGAAAACTATGGGGCGTGTCATGGATCCAACTGGTGGGGGTGAATCCCAAAAAAGTGACGGAGATCTTCAACGGGCACTGGAAGGTGAACTTGTTGAGTTCCTCAGGAATCAGAATTCGATACTCATGAATGAGTTAGCAGCTCTCAGGGACATGGTTGAGAAGGGAAGGGTCAGTCAGACCAATTCTGGAATGGAGTCGTCACCATGGTCAGCTGTTGATGGGGTTGGTTCTACAGATAGCTCAGTGGGTGCTGGTGTAGGCCATACTCAAAATGGACGGCTTGGGAGAAATGGTAGCAGGACCCCCAGAACTTCCAAGCACCGTGAAGTAGCAGCCAGTCCTGAGAGGAAAAAGGAACCGCAAAGGTTCACGCCGAATGGAACTCGAGTGCCTGACGGACCGCCTCCAGTAGCAGCTCCGGTATGGCCCCCTGTTCCGCCAATTCCAATGGTTGATGATGGTCAACATGTTGGTGGTACAGAACTTTATGATACATGTGATTCAAAACCACGTGTGAGAAATGGGGACCGTGAGTGGAAGCCTCAAAGCGATCGCATAGATCGTACTGGAGTTTTGTCTGCAAATGAAGCGAAACAGTTTTGGTTGGAACAAGAGGTGAAGTCTCTTCGAAAAGCTTTGGATAGGGTGGCAGTTCCCACAGCTTTCCATGAATCTGGATACTGGAATGGAGGGTTTGAGACAAAATGTGACCCCCAAAACCATGGTCATGCAACTGTTGATCCTCGCACTGCCTTGGAACCTGCTTTGCATCGCGTGCCGACTGGTGGATGTGGAGCTGATTCTCTACTGCCTCGGGCCTTGCATGGCGGCAGTGGTGAAGACGCTCTACAACGTCGGGCTTTGCATGGTGGAAGTGGTGCTGATTCTCTACTGCCTCGGGCCTTGCATGGCGGCAGTGGTGAAGACGCTCTACATGGTCGGGCTGTGCATGGTGGCAGTGGTGTAGAATGTGCACAAGATCGGGCTCTGCATGTAGCTTCACAAGTACCTGGCGGAGTTCGGGCAGCATATGTGCACGGCGAACACCTTGACCGTGATCGGGCTTTTGCAGAGCATGGTGAACTCCGTCATGACGCTCGGGCTTTTGGTTTGCATGGTGCTGTACCTGGACAAGCTCGGGCCTCATCGACGGCTGAAGATCCAAGGCGGGGACCATTTGACTGTGGACCTGGACGCTCCTGTGAACTTCCACGGCATGATGTGGGGGGAGGTGGAGTGGGAGATGGAAAGTTTTTTGGGCGCACCTATGGCCCATGGTCGGAGGGGTCAGGATCTATGAACACAAAGGGAGAGCTACCTGACTTGCCCTCTGACTCGTCTCCTTTGCAATTTGGAGATTGGTTGCACTTGATCACACCGCTGGATGGTGGTGGGAATCGACCCTGCGAGAAGCGAAAGGATTCTACGAGGAGTGGCGCCGAAGCTCACCTCTACAACGGATTCAAATCCAACCTCGCCTACCCGAAGGCTTGCAGGAGGCCCACTTCCAGAGGACTGAACACCGTGGAATTCAGATGCTTCTCAAGGCGATTCCATCACAAGAACAACAAGCACTTGTCACAGATCGTGTGTTGAGCTCCACTGCAATCATCTACAAGTTGCTGGTACGTTTCCAACCAGGTGGAGCAGGAGAGAAACAATTGCTACTGTCTCAGCTGACAACGATCCCCAAAGCCAAGGATGTGACTGAAGCTGCTGCAGGCATTCGCAACTGGCGACGACACTACGGCCGAGCTCAAGAAGTAGAAGTTGCATTGCCTGATGGTGTCTTGTTACTCAAGGCCTTGGACACCCCACTGCGGTTCCTGGGCAACATGGACCCGCAAGCAGCCTTCAGGTTGAGTCAAAGCCGAATGCAGCTCCAACTTGATCAACAACCAACACATCAAAATCTTTGGGCGTTTTCACAGTGTTTGCTGGCTGAAGCTGAGACCGTAGCCTTGCTTCAAACCTCCTCTACTTCGACAGCATCAACGGTGCCCCTCAAACTCAAGCAGCTGGATGGTGACATGAAATCTCCGGCCAAGCTTTCCAATGGGGACCCAAAATCAAAGCCCAGTCCGATGGCCGATAAGCCATGCCGCTACTTCGTGTCTGACAAGGGCTGCAAGGCTGGCAAAAGTTGCAAATGGCAACATGACTGGGAAAGCCTCACAGATAAATCTGCACGCTGCTTTGTGTGCGGAAGCAAGGAGCACCGCAAGAACGATTGCAAGCTGCGCACCAAGAAGCCTGGTGAGCCGATGAGCTCAGGGGGAGGATCCGGTCAAGGACGTGGGGGGGGTGACAACTCAACTTCTTCGACAACGGCAACCTCCGCGATGGGTGGAAAAGCTGGTGCAGCAGCAGCAGCGAAAGTTTTGCAAGGTGCTGATATCCCCGACCCCAACTGGTTCAGGAGTAGGGGGGGTGGATCCTACATTTCTGATAATGTATGAACATAAGGGGGGGGTTAACCCCTTCACTTTTTGCCAAAAATGTATGGGAACTAGGGGGGGGGTAACCCCTCAAAAATGAGGCATGTATGAGTGCCAGATGCTGGAAATGTATTATTGGTAGGGGTATTGAACCTGAAAATGTATGCTTTGTGGGGGGCACCACTGACAAGAGCCAATGGATACATAAACTTTTCTAAATGTATGCAAGCATGGGGGGGTCTGCACCTCAATCCAATTGATCTTTTTTTCCTGGGAAACCTACTGAAACCCATGGGCCATAAAATGGCTGAAATATCCCCCTTTGAATTAAGTGAGAGTGTTGGTGTTGACAATTTTATAATGATAATCCGGGAGGCCCTGACCCTCTTTCTGAAAATGCATCTATAGAATCAGAGATCCCAAGGTATTTTCAAGTTGACAATCTCTATAGAATCGATGCCGCCAAGTCACTCTCGTAGATGGTTGGGGGGGTTAGTTGGCCTTCTATAAAATCAGGCTCCCCAACCCTTCTTTATTGCTTCAATTTTATAGAGCCCAAAGGCTCCTTCGTTTTCCATCCGTTTGCACTTTTTGAGCGGAAAGGCGGAAAGGCTGGCTCGAGGACTTCGACCCAAAAACGGTGAGACACACTGGGGAGACACAACAGGGAGAAAGAAAGGGGAGACACAACGGGGAGACACAGCGGAAAAATGATGCAAAATGAAAAATGTCACTTTTATATATTGAAATGTCAAAATGGTACATATTTGCTGAATATAACTGATGATAACTGATGAAACCCTGATGATAGATCTCCAACAAATCTCCAATATATCCCAAAAGTATCCAAAAGTTTCCAAAAATATGTCAAGATTCCAAATGATTCCAAAATATACAAGGATGATCAAGGATGATGAAGGATGATGAAATAATTGTTGTGGGAAATTGGTTCTGCCAATGCTTCTCTATAAAATTGAAGAACATGACATACATCCAAAGAGAACGTATCCCACTGTAGAATCGCAGTCCCTAAGACTCTCTGCTGACTAGTCCTCAGTGCTGTATTCAACATGAAATCTCTATAGAATTAGAGGCCCCAAGGTCCTCTATAAAATTGAAACCGTTGACACTAAGCGTTGACACTGGGTAGGTACCCCTTATTAAGTCAGGGGGTTAAAATGCACCATTTTCCAGGAAGTAACGTTCCCGATTCTGTAGAGGAAATTCCAAGGGGGATGCTGAAATATACTTGATCTTAAATATTCTGAAATGTATGCATTGCAGGGGGTACCAATGACTACCTTAGCCAGATCTATTCCCTCCATTTTCCAAAAATGATGTGCTTTTCGGCTACCCAACCCCCTTAAAATACATTTTTCAAAGAAGGGTATTCCCAGAAAAAAATTAAGCATTCCCGGGGATCCTGGAAAAACCAAACCCGTAAAATGTATTAAACCACCCCCCCAAAATAAAAGATCCTGGGGGGGGTTGGATATCCCGACCCATGGATCCTACATTTAACGTACACCCACCGGTCAAATAATGTATTTAGGGGGGGTCCTGGGGAATCAAATTCTTGGAGAACGGTAAATGTATTTTTTTTCCCCAACCTCTCCCCCCCTAAAATACATTTTTAGGGGTGGGTGATGTGCTGATTCTTCCACTACAACGACATCTTCATCTATGGCATCTCCGGGGGAGACAAAGACTGGTGGAGATGGAGATGACAATGGAAAAGGCTCTAGTGATGGAGGAACTGGTGGTGATCAAATCCCCAAAGCTGGATCCAAAGGTGGCACTGAAGACCTCTTGCATGAGGCCACCCAGCTTTTGAAGTCACTCAGACGTCAGCCCAAGATCAGCGTGATGCAGTTGGCTGGTCTGGATCAAACTGAGGACAACTGGGTGCTGATCGATTCAGGTGCCACTCATGCACTTCGTCCTGCACGTGACCAAGATGAATGGAAAAATGCAGAGCGAACAGTGGTGCAGCTGGCGAATGGTGCAACGGAGGCATTTCGCCTGAAAAAGGGTACTCGTATCCTGCTGGGGCATCCAACTGGTTCTACTTCAAGGATCATCCCAATGGGTGGCATCACAGAGCTTGACTTCACGATGACTTGGTCTGGTGATAGATG